TAAATTCAAATAAATCGTGACCGTCAAAACCAATCTCTTCAAACCTATTTATATCCCTACCCTCACTCCCTTAACTCCTCGCTACACCCCTCTTTCTCTCTTCTCATCACTCCTTCCATTTTCTCTCTCTTCTTCTCTTCCTCTTCTCCGAGCTCAGCAACAATGGCGGCGACTCCATTGTCAGTCGAGAAGACCACCTCTGGAAGAGAGTACAAGGTTAAAGACATGTCTCAGGCTGATTTCGGTAGACTCGAAATCGAGCTTGCTGAAGTCGAAATGCCTGGACTTATGTCTTGCCGTACTGAATTTGGTCCTTCTCAACCTTTTAAAGGTGCTAAGATTACTGGATCTCTTCATATGACTATTCAAACTGCTGTTCTTATTGAGACTCTTACTGCTCTTGGTGCTGAAGTTCGTTGGTGTTCTTGTAACATCTTCTCTACTCAGGTATAATTTCATTAATCTCGTGATTTTTTCGATTTAATCCTCTTTTTTTGATCTGTGAATTACCCTTGATTTTGGAATTTTCAGATCTTAAATGGGGTTTTATTGTTTTTGTGGATTGGATCTTGTTGGGTTGATTCATTTTGTGATAATTTTAAAGAAATGAGTAAATGATTGAGTTGTAGAATTTTTGATTTGAAATGGGTTGTTTTTTCTAAGGTTTAAGATCTCAGATCTTGTGTTTTTTTATTTTAAGAATCGTGGGGTATTTGATTAATGATAAAAATGGTGGTATATTCTAATCATTTTTGGTGTTAAGAGTTTAAAATGAATAAATGTTTAATTTGTGCTATTTTAATTCGAAATGGGTTGTTCATTTCTGGATTCTTAAGATCTCAGATCTTATGATAATAATTTATAATAAATTGGATGATTAAAATTATTTAATCAGTTTTTGTGGGATTAGTTATATAATTATAGTATGAAATGAATTGATCTCAGTGTTACTGTCTTAATTTTGATGCTAAGATCTGTAGAAACATAAATATTTCATGAAATTTTGAAGTTAAAATTGAAAATGTGAGCTCAATATTAGGATCTTATCATGAATTTTAGGATTACTTTTGGCTGAGATTCAGATGCGGTTTTTGTGGATCTATTATAAAATTCATACATGATTTTAGCAAGAAATGTTGATTAATTAATTGAATTATTGATTTACTTTGTTATATAGGACCATGCTGCTGCTGCCATTGCTAGGGACAGTGCTGCAGTATTCGCCTGGAAGGGTGAGACCCTCCAGGAGTACTGGTGGTGCACAGAGAGGGCTCTTGACTGGGGTGCCGCTGGCGGTCCCGACCTCATTGTTGATGACGGTGGTGACGCTACCTTGTTGATCCACGAGGGAGTTAAGGCCGAGGAGGAGTTTCAGAAGACCGGAAAGGTACCCGACCCAAGCTCTACTGACAATGTCGAGTTCCAACTTGTGTTGGGCCTCATTGTCGAGAGCTTGAAGGTTGACCCTAAGAGGTACCACAAGATGAAGCAAAGATTGGTTGGTGTCTCAGAGGAGACCACCACCGGAGTTAAGAGGCTTTATCAGATGCAGCTTAACGGTACCTTGTTGTTCCCCGCCATCAATGTTAACGACTCTGTCACCAAGAGCAAGGTATACATTCGAGTCTTAGACAACGATACACTTAATCAGAATCGAATCTGCGTATTGACATTATCATAACTTGCTTTGTTGGAAGGAAAATGTGATATTTGAAATGGTGTGGTTATAATGTATTTGTGTTTGTTAACAGTTTGACAACTTGTACGGATGCCGTCACTCCCTTCCCGATGGTTTGATGAGAGCCACCGATGTTATGATTGCCGGAAAGGTTGGTGTTGTATGTGGATATGGAGATGTCGGAAAGGGTTGTGCTCTTGCCTTGAAGGCTGCTGGTGCCCGTGTGATCGTGACTGAGATTGATCCCATCTGTGCTCTCCAAGCTCTTATGGAAGGTTTCCAGGTCTTGACCTTGGACGACGTTGTCTCTGAGGCTGATATCTTTGTTACCACCACCGGTAACAAGGACATCATCATGGTTGATGACATGAGGAAGATGAAGAACAACGCCATCGTTTGCAACATTGGTCACTTTGACAACGAAATTGACATGCAAGGACTTGAGAACTACCCAGGTGTCAAGAGGATCACCATCAAGCCCCAAACTGACCGCTTTGTCTTCCCCGAGACCAAGACTGGCATCATCGTCTTGGCTGAGGGTCGTCTCATGAACTTGGGTTGTGCCACCGGTCACCCCAGTTTTGTCATGTCCTGCTCATTCACCAACCAAGTTATTGCTCAGCTTGAGTTGTGGAACGAGAAGGATTCTGGCAAATACAAGAAGGAGGTCTACGTTTTGCCCAAGCACCTTGATGAGAAGGTTGCTGCCCTTCATCTTGGCAAGCTCGGTGCTAAGCTCACCAAGCTTTCTAAGGACCAGGCTGACTACATCAGCGTGCCTGTTGAGGGTCCATACAAGCCAGCTCACTACAGGTATTAGAGTGGGGAACGGACATTGGCGTATTGGATCTTCGAAGAGGAAAGGGGCGGTGTGCCTTATATCTTGTGTTTTGAATAGAGGTCCTAATATGGGGGTTTTGAATAAGGCAAAACTTTTAGGCTTATGTTTTGTAATTGCTCTCAGACTTTGCTGATGTCTTGTACTCGGTGTGTCTGTTTAAAATTTTTTCTATCAAAATGAAGAGGAATGAGTGCATTTCTGTTTCGAAAATTTCAGACTTGTTTAGAGCAATGCTTGATTGTTTGCATATTTATCTGAAGAACAAGGAGTTGCTCTTATCTTCTTGATGTGACAAATATCATTGCCAATTTGGTGGATAGATTTGAAAATTTGTTGATCAAGACTCTTAAGAGTAGGCTAAGCGTTTAACCACCAAAGCACTTCGCAGTAATATAGAGTTCAGATTTGACTATAATTTAGTCGATATCAATGTTTGGAGTGTCAAAATCTAAGTACAAAAGCTTACTAAACAACTAAACATATTTACTTACTAGCTTAGAACCTATGCAATGCAAAAACGAGATTGTGCTACGGACTAAACACTTCCAAAGAAAAATATTTGAGCCTTTGAGGTCATTAACTTATGACAATGACATACTCGACAATGGATATGTTGATGATTGCTAACATTTCTATCTTTTTTCCGTGTACACCTATCATTAAATATACCCAAGAATAACTAATTTGTCGTTAGTGCATAATTTTTAAATTTGATTCTTCAAATTTGTAAATTTAAGTACAACTTCTATTCAAAGAAAAACGAATAATTGTTTATGAAAGAATTCAAAATGAGCACACTCAATTTTTATTTTTATTTTTCAAAAAAAATTATTCTTTCAAATTCCTTATGAATACGTAATCTAACGATGGTAACACTCTCCTAACTAAGGAGTGCGAAGTAAAGATGTTGTCAAAAAGGGTGTTTCATGTTTAGTAGATTTTGTTATGGTGTCACTTCACTCACTTGGTCATAAGTGATCCGAATTACTATGCGACTATGTACCTCCTAATAGTAAGGAATTGACATCAATTGAGGATCACTTGGATGACTATTTTTGGATCTTGTATTCTCGCTCTTATGTAACCTCATTTTCTTCGGTTTTAGGGGACTCATATGAACTATGAATGAGGATTGTACAAGAAATAAGATCCATAAGTTTTGAATTTCAAAGAGTTTTGAGACGACTCATCTTTAAATCTTAGCAAGTGTGCTACCCCCGGCCCCCCTCTTCTAATACTATCAAATACAAAACACGAGTAATAAAAACACTTATCACATTAATTTGCGTTGTGAGATGATTCATCGTTGATTGAGCAAAATGATTTATTACTTCATTTAGAAATCTATAATCTAATTCCGTTACAGAGACCCTCATTTGCCACCTAAAAAATGACACTAAAAACTATTTTTGACACTTGTATTGTAAGAGCACAAATCTAACTCTTAACTTTTTATGTGAAAAGCGATGTAAGAGTCTTCATCACTAAGACAATAGGCACAAATAGTTGGTCATATAAAAGCTAGGGATGGCCTTGAGCTAATGAAAGGAGGCGTAAATTATAAATTGCTAAATTGACGTTTTAAAGGTAAAACAAACGGTGCTAAGTTGCTAACTATTCAAATGGCTTCCCAAGGTGTCGTGGGGTCCATGGAAAGCACCCAAGTCTTTATTTTCTGGGTCCAAAAAAGTAAAATTTTGAAAGCCATAATCCACGCCATTAATGGAAAAGGGAAAAAACACATTTTAAAGAGGTCACGTGCTAGACATGTGATTTTTTTTTGGCCGGAAAACAAAGTTAATGACCCCTCTTCACAACCCAAGTGGGATAAAAGGATCTGCCACTTTTTTTTTTTAAAAAAAATATATATTTATATATAAAACAAAAAAACCTTTACCACAAAGTACATCATTTAAAAGGAATTTTCTAATAAATTTTCCTTAAAATTATTAACTTATTATCATAAAATTATAGGGATTAGGTTGTGTATATCTAAACCCTTCTTACCATATAAAGAAGAGACTCATAAAACATTTATTATATGGAGTAATTATTACGAGAATGAAACTAGCTCATGGATGTTGAATTGAACCTTTTTAAAATCGTAGTGATACGCAAAACACAAATCATCATCATCATGTAATATATCCTCTCAACATGTAACTCATACAGCAGCAAGAACCAACAAAAAAAAAAAAATAGATTTGATCCAATGAATTCGGGGATATTGAACCCGACGTGAATCGAACACGCAACCTTCTGATCTGGAGTCAGACGCGCTACCATTGCGCCACGGATCCTCATTTGTTGATAATCTTTCAATCAAATTATACTTTATCAATACTTTGCATTTAAAAAAACTATAGGATTAATAATATAATCTTTGATCCACAACGAACCAATAAAAACAGTACACCTCAGCTAATAAAATCTTTTTAAAAATCCTCAAATACCACCCACAAAAATATTCTGATTTGTCTGTCAGATTTTGTGGACATCATTCTTCATATCCATTTTTCAGATATCTTCATCTTTACATGATCAATTTATAGTTCATACCATACAATTTTTGTGTTTTAAAATCACCCAAGAAAAAAAAAACAGTAAAAATGGCAGCAGCAACAGCAACAGCAACAGCAGCATTAAGCAGCAGCACTTTACTAGCACCGAGCAGCTCAAAGCAGGCGCAGCAGCAACAGCAACAGCTTATCAAATGCAAGTCTTTTGCAGGGCTACGTCCCCTGCAGCTCAGCCGCAGCAGCAGCAGCAGCAGCAGCAGCAGCAGCAGCAGTAGCCTTTCGATGTCAGGAAAAAGAAGAGCGATGACCTGCAGAGCCGAACTGAACCCATCATTGGTGATAAGTCTGAGTACAGGGCTGTCACTTTTCCTAGGGAGATTTGTGTTCTTTAACTTCCAAAGAGAGAACATGGCTAAGCAAGTGCCAGAGCAGAACGGAATGACTCATTTCGAGGCCGGCGATACTCGTGCTAAGGAGTATGTTAGCCTTCTCAAGTCTAATGACCCTGTTGGGTTCAACATTGTGGACGTTCTAGCATGGGGTTCAATTGGTCATATTGTTGCTTACTATATCTTGGCTACTGCTAGCAATGGTTATGACCCCAACTTCTTTTAATTACTTCTTAATTAATCAATTATGTTGGGATTTATCAATTTGCCCTTTTGATTATGTTGTTATTAATGTTATTATTATCAAGTGTTGTTGTGTAATTAACAGATTGTTTAAATGTTATTCCTCTATATATGCCCTTATCTATCTAATTTTGTTTCAATCAAACTTCTTACTTACATTACTATTGTTTTGTTATAAGGATGGTTCGGATCTGGTTGAGTTCAAGGATTTAGGATTAGTTGTCGATTAGCTAATCATGATAAAATGATCATTATCGAATTGTCGAGTTAGAATTTTTGTTCGGATTATGTAATTTTAATATGATTGAGAATGTGAGGAATTAGAAACGATCTTGAATTCTAAAACAGGATGTGCAACAAGTGCAAGGTTATTGATACGCCGTAATAAGATGTAAAAAAGGATGAACTAGTAACAATGAAGCATGTAGAAGTGTACATCTTTTGAGGAGGGATCATTACTTAATAGTAGATGATTAATGTCTTATTATTAAATAATTTTATCTTAATTTAGAAATGGAAATCTAGGTGCCCTGATAGGATGTCTATATGACTATGTATTAAAAATAGGTATGGGAGGACAAGAAGACATTAGCACGAGGTTGAATCATACATCCACTTCAATTGGATTTGAGCAGGATGGCAGAAAATATCTATCTGGTGCAATCGTTGTAATGCACCACTGGCATAGTAACATGTAAAAAATGTATGTTTGTTGTGGTTGTCTGCTTGCAGATCACCTGATATATCAGTAAACTTAGAAAGGGTTGTAAGAACTACAAATCAATTTTCTTTAGATTTACTCCTTATACAGTTGATCAGTTGCTTGTCCTTGGATGAGCGAGCGACAACATTTGATCAACTCTTCTTGTTCAATAATGAATGCAAAGCAGTACGATATCAAAAAGGAAATTTGCAGTGCAAATGTTACATGACTAAATTTCATAACACGGCATGTAAAACATAAGTTACAATGGCACAAACCACAAATATTGGACTCTAACAAAGCAACTCTTCTCCACCGAATCACAATAATCAACAATACCACACGTTATGTGCAGCTATGACTAAATATACTAGTATATAATTTTGAGTTGACACCATCACAACTCCCCTGACCAATAAAAGCTCAAACACTCTAGAGTACACCCCTCGAGAGGTGGGGGGAGGTACCTTCTCTAAAGAGCCCCTAGACCCTAGTGGGGGGTTCAGCTAGCGACTAATCGAGACAAGCTTGGTTGAATAGCGACTACAAGTAATGAGGGTCACGACGTTGATTCTGTCATTTTTTCACCTTCCAAAAGCTTTAGCTCCTCGCGCCAACCTTCCAACTTCTTGACCTTTTCAAGCTGCTCAGGCTTCATATCTTCCGGGCTAGCTTTCTGTAATTGAGCTTCTGCAAGCCGAATCTGAAGAAAGCCAAATTCAAGTTCATGGATCAGAATATGTTGAATCTGAAGAAAATTGTAAATATAGCCCACATGCAGCATAAATTGATGTCAACAGAAATTTGGTTATTACCACATTAAGCTCGTAACTTAAATTAAAAGCAAACCTCATTGTGAATATAGAGAAAGGGAATAACAGTAAGTTTTGCTAAGCTCAGATATACACCATAGCATATTGTAATAAATGACAGTAAGATTTGCTAAGCTCACATATACAACGAAACATGTAATAAATGACAGATTTGCAAAGCTCACACATACACCGTAGCATGTGATTATAGAAAAAGAAAAATGACAGTAAGATTTGAGGTACAGAACGATTATGAATGATGAGAGAATAATTCCATTCCTATGCGACACCAGTACAATTTCTTCTTAATAGCCATGACATACTGCAATCCACAAATCAAGATTGCATAGAGAACGAGTTATATCCTTTAAAATAGGAGCATAGGAGGCTTTCCTCCACGAATCATCCAAAGTTTTTTTCATAGCGATGAAAATGAGCTTTGTCGATTCAGTAACCTAATTTTGTCATTCATAACAGAGCTGGGAAACCCAAGTAGGCTCACTCTGGTTGCTGTAATCTTCTTATAATGTGAGCCTCCAAAATGGAAACTGCTGAGGCCATTGGGGGATGCATCCTATAATATGGACCCTGGCACCCTTCAAGGACTATTACGGAGCTTGATAGGCTTTTAAAAATGTTTGCTTTTACAGCATACAACTAATGTCCAAAGTAATGATTTCGAATTGTTGTAGGCCCCAAATACCAATAGGCAACCATGGGAGACATCTGTCCATTTTCCTCACATAGTTTAATGCTGTGATGCCTTCATAATCTCTATTGTAGTTTCCAACAGAATGCTGCTAGGGATATGTTTTTGGATGTTATGATTCTGATTGTCTAAAAGGAAAAATCTATGTATCAGGGAACTCAAAGAAACTTCCAGAGTCTTTTAATAGCCTTTGGCCCTTTGCAGAACCACAGGAGTAGGAAAGCATCCACAACTTCTAGATACACTTTCAGGGGCTTCCGTAGTTCCTTGTGAAACGGTGAGCTCATGGCTCTCTACATAATTATAAATCCAAAGTCTAATATCATACATAAAAATTATGACCATTAGGTGACTCAAACGAGTTGACAGGCTTAACCCCTATTTCTATTGAAATTGCTCAATTGTCCCATTAGGTATTGCACACCTTTGCATCAGACCTGATATGTGAAACACCTGACCAGTATGGACCCAAGGCTACCAAATAGCCCAGAAACCTTAGTCCATTGTACATGACCACCACTTAAAGTCGTCTTTGTGGTATTGTACACGAATTTGACAACGTCACGGAAATAATGTAAATAGCTTAACAGATATAACCTTCAAAACAAGAGTCAGCCTTAGCTTTTATAAAGCTAAACAACTCTTGAATCCCAACTTTTCCTAAATTCCCACCAACACCTAAAAGGAGCCATTCAGCATGAACAAGATACCTTACTCCAATCATATAGGATTATAGGATCCCTACAACTATTGAACAGCCAAAGACAGGCACTCTCTCAGGTTCAGTAGGTATTTATAATTTGGCCTTAATGTGTCTGAGAAGTCTTATGTAACAACCAAACACTAAAAATCCACAGATGCCACACTGTCCTGATAAAGATATAATGTAACAGAAATGGCATATGGGGGGTGTTAACCCAAGCATCACAGTCATATCGATTACCAAGAATTGAACATATTAAGAAAATCTAGTTCTTATTATCCTATACTTCAAACATATTCTAAAATTTACACTTCAAATTATACTGTCAAGCACCTTATCTAGTTATTTTTGTGAAGAAATAGAGGTTCTAGACATCTGTATAGAGTAAAAATTAAATTTAATGTTCTTTTAAGCTCATAGCCTTAAGGAAGGGCCCACAGAACATGCCAGGAAATAAGATAGCAAATACGGAGCCATAGCCCATAGATCCAAGGAAGATACTAAAATTAAAGGGGGCATGATTTGTGGCTTTTGCTCAGAGCCTCACAACCAGCTAACCAAGTGACCAACAAAGTGTTCCACCTCTTATCCTCTCAACATTCATGATTCATCATTCTAGCTCATAAGCACCTCAGACTTAACCTTAACCTCACAATAACCATCAATATCTGAATAGGCAAAATCTCTCATCAGATATCACATACACGTCCAAAGACCATTAACCGGTCTAAGGAAGGTTACGTACATGTCTTTGGAGGTCTTCATGGAGGTGAGCCATAAATGTCAAGATGGGATTTGACACCACCAAAGCTAGTGCTGAATCTGGTAATGCCTATGGTATGGAACTATGGACAATAGAAATGAGTGGTGCTTTAAACTTCAAAGCGAGAAAAATTACCTCAATCCTTGCTATGATCTATTTCCTCAACAAAAATATTACATTACCCAAAGTCCATTGTCCTACACGCACCTAATAATTATTTGACAACAACAAAGGTGTTCGCCACTGTCCATTGAAGTTTCTCGAGGCCCATAAAGGAAATTATTTTTGATCTAGATGAATTATAGAACCCTATGTGATTCCAAGATGCTAGAAGATTGCAGGGTAGCAAAAAGACTTAACATCTATAAATTTATCAACAATTTACCTTGTAATGTCAATTGTCCCTCAGCCTCGGTCATTATCTTATAAAAGCCCTTACTACTTAAAATTTCAATTGCATCCTTAGAATACTTCTACTTTGACTTTGCATATTATTTAAGAGGACGTAAGCCATAATGGGAGGATGCAAGGGGAAGTGCATTGGAAAAGTTGCCCATGAATACCACTTATAATCGATTTGAAAAATAAAAATCAACATGAGATCCTAGAATTGGGACAAAGCAAATTTTACAGAGCGAAAATACACAACAAATATAAAACCACTCTGCCCCCAATGTAAAAACTATTTTCCAACCTACAATCTAACATAAACTAAGATTTATAAATTAATTCAAAAGAAATATGGAGATCAAACCACATGTAAACCATACCCATTCTTATCACCTTCTACAATATCATTTCTTTCTAAAAACCTCATCATTGAACTGTCCCCCAACAAGTAAATACTCTAAGAAATCAGAATAACCTTTCAAAAAACTGAAATTGAAACACTTAGCAACTAAGCAAAATTTGTTAACTTTTTTGAAAAATGGCTTTAATGTAATTTAGATGTTGTGAATTCTTTGGTTTTTTCATTTTATTTTTTATCCAAGGAAAGGTCAACCAGCTAGGTTAGAGTTACTTGATTTAAGATGAACGACAGTTATCTATTTAAATTTACATACTTCATTAGTTTTAACTAAAGAAGACATGACAAGAGCTAATATTAGTGATTCCAGTAAGAAGCCCTCATAAAAGTTGCCTTTATGGCGTTTACGTGTGCCTAAATCAACAGAAACTTATCCCAATGCCTCTAGATTTCTCCCAAGGGGAAATAAAAAAACGGATCAAGTGTAAGTAGCCTTATCTTGTAATAGTTGCTCTGCTAAGCTTTTAACTTATATATAGTTGCTCCGCTAGCCTGTTCACCTATATGTAGTTGCTCTGCTAGCCTGTTCACCTATATGTAGTTGCTCTGCTAGCCTGTTCACCTATGTGTAGTTGGTCTGCTAGACTGTTCACCTATATATAGTTGCCCTGCTAGACTGTTCAGTGTTCACACATGCAGCAAATTCAATTTGAGAGTTTACTATAAATTATAAGCATATACTTCCTCCTTCCTTTTTTTAATTTCGTCAATAGGACATTCACATAATTCACACTTCTCTTTGACCATGTTTTGTGATTTGCATGCTAGGAGAAATATAATCGTGTGGCCTTGTTAGATTTGTCTCGGATATACTTCCAAAATTTAAAACTTTTGATATTTTTACTATAAATTAAGTCAACATATTAATGGTATAAGTTGTGCACCGACGGATGTAAAAGTTCAAATGATGAATTTGAAAAAAGAAAGAAAAAAAACACACACACACACAATAGGAAGTACAGTTTAACAAGCCAACTTGATCTAGTACATGAGTACACGATAGAGAACGACACAATCGCATAGAATTAAATAAAAACTTAGCAAAGATAATTTACCCTTTCTTTCTAACAACATACGTCAATATATCAACAATAAGGGATGGCACCAAACCATCTCCCACTTTTCGTTTGCACGAAGACTACATACTCCCCTCATAAAAAATACACAACGGTATATAAGCAAAACATATCCTTACTAAAAATTGCAACTAAATCACCCAAAGGTAGCAGTCAATCAAGTGTTGAAGATGCAAATGCTTAATGGGGCAAAACACACCACATCATCTTGGATTGACACTTAACAAGCCGTCTCACTTGGAGCACATTACTCATGTTGAGTTCCAATCATTGTCACCTTCTAAGTGAAGGAATTCAGTTCATGAGCTACTTGAAAGTACCACATAAATCTACAAAGGGAAAAGGGAGCCAGTCCTCCACATGAAGTACCAATAGCATGTATAAGCCATAGTGCACCACCACAATAGAAAATTGCAGGAGTACCCAAAATCCCAAATTTTGAACCAAGAAAAACATTTCCCAGCCATAAATTGAATCATCCTCCAAAAAATAATCTTTTCAAACAGTTCCTTGAGACATGTGATGAATTCCTCATCATCCCCAAGACCCCAACCATATCTTTAGTTAGTTAAGTATATAGATTACCAGCAAGTGGATCTTATCATATTTTATTGGTTATGATTGTGAATTTGTGATATTTGAATTCATACCAAGGAAACAATAGATAACTATTTTATATATCCATGTTCATGAGTGTAAAGTATTATCCATGTTCATGTTCATGACTCTATCAGTTTGTAAATATGAGAAAAAGTATCCAAGAAAAAATGGGAGAGAGCAAGCGAGACCACAAGCCAAAATAGGAATGTTTCAAAGTGTTACATCTATTTGCAAACACAGGGAGTAACAATTAAAAAAAGAAAAGGAACGAAAAGCAATACAAGTTCCTAAATCTGTCAAAGGGTAATTTTCATTTAATAACTTTTTGTATGCAATATACATGAGAGTAATATGAAGATTTTCTCAATCCTTCAGAAAATAGCAGATATAAAATTTGATTATCACTAACCAATTACCATACAAACATACTTTTGTGGCCGAAAAAAACATTGATAGGAAGTAGGAAAGGTACCTTCTTTTTCAAAGCTCGGATCTTTTTGTCAATATCTACACCTGCATTGGCTGTATCTGATCCTACTGCAGGATCCACTGAAGGTTTACTAGTAGCCGTGCTTGTAGAAAGAGCTAGTTGACTAATCTGAGAAGCAGCAGACTCCAGAGATTGCTTTAGATTAGGATCTATAGAACTTGTCTCCTTCAGATCCTCGACAGCTGAATGATCTGGGTTACTTACCCTTTCAACGGCAGCCTGTGAAGGCCAATATAAGTATTAGCTAATAATTTCATAATATGTTAAAATCCATATTGACTGGAAGAGAAAAAAAAAAAAAAAAAAAAAAAAAAAAAAAAAGGGGTTTGGGGGGGGGGGAGTAATATGTTGCTTATGAACTAGCATATCAGGATGAACTAGCATATCAGGAGCAGAAATTAAAGAAAGAAGAAAGAAATTAATATTGTTATTCTAATATAGAAAGATTTTGACGCATTCGAGAGGTTTGAATTCTCTCCAAAATACAAAATAAAACAATTTTAAATTTCTTTACGCCTTCCTTCTCACTGCTCTCATTTATTTACAGAGCTAACTCGATTTCTTTCTCAGCAAGGCTAACATGCTGCACTCCGGTATTATCCCTTCTCTACATTCAATGCATAACATTATGACGTAGGATGGTAAAAATTGAAAAACTACAATAATACTATTACAGGAATCCAAATAAAATCTTGCAACAAATGGAGATTGGAAATTGTAAAACACAGCTCCGAATGAAGCTATGGAAGCTACAAAGTTGTACGCTATAAGAGCAAATTTCACTAAGTCTATAGATAGGGAAAGCTGGAGTAGCAAGGGGTGTATATGAAAATTGCTGCATTTTTACATTGATATATTATCAAAACATGTGGGGATTAAGAAAAGCAGGAGGTCCTTGTTAGGTAGTAGTTACAAGTCTCCCATACCAATAAAAATAATCGAAAAACAAAAGGCAGGAACCCTCAATTGTGCATGATCTCGTCCACAAAAAGACGTAAGACGGGTGCTAAAGTTGAATCTCTCAGCTCCATCCGGACAAGATCCTTTAAAATTATTCAAAAGCTTGGGAGAAGTTGTTTATACAAATTACTACAGTTTGAATAATGATAAGTACAACAAGAAGTGCTCAATATAGTAGACGCCTTAGATGTATATAAAGCATATCAGGATTTATTAAGCCAAAATAAGAATAATATAAGGAGTACCTGCTGTCTCTTTTCTTTCTTTCTCTCATTCCTCTTAACAGATTTGCTTTTGGGCTTTGCCTCCGTTTCGGGAACAAATCCAGGTGGCCCTTGTGACTCCAGCTCCTTTTTCCACTGCAATAATTTTTTAGTCAATCCTCTTAGATTTTGTTCGTATCATATTCATAAATTGAAGGCTACAATCCTACAACACACATATAAACACACACAGAAGAAGAAAATCGGGAAATGAAGCAACTTTGAAATTAAATTACAGCATGGAGGCTGAGGCAACGGAGGGAGAGGGTGATGTAGAGGTAGGCGTGCCAAGTAAAGGGAGGCAAACTAGTCTTTTCTTATTTAAGTTGCAATCAAACGACATAAACTCATGTCATTCTCATCATTTAAAAATTAGAGAAATGGATAAACTTTGTTGTTCCTATACGGCTATACGCAAAATTAACAAAACAGCGAGTCCACTTTGTAGTCCGGTCAATGGGTTAATGCTGGTCAAATACAGTTCATAAATAAAATACGCAAACAAGGGAAAAATTCGAATAAGGCTCGAGGACTACCTAGTACGGAAGATACAAACCGAAAAAGGGAGATCTCCAATAGATTCTCTCAAGAGCTTGCGGATTCGAGTTATCCCTAAACCACATTTACTAAAACCACATTGATCCAACCCAAAATTCAAGTTTTTGGATTTCTGCAAAATTCTACCAAATACATGAAAAAACAGCCCCAATCATACCCCTTTTCCAACAATTCCTTAAAGAAGAAGAATGATCATCAATTGCAGGTATACATTGCCAAAAAAACATAATCATAAATTAACAATAAAAACACACAAATTAAAGTAAAATTGACATATAGATAACCAACTAAATTAACAAGCAATCCTCAAACTATGAAAAAGATAGCATCTTTTCAATATAAATTGGCATTCACATTACAATCATCATCAAATTAACACAAAATTAAACAAAAAAAAAGGGAGAAAATTACAACATATTATCTTACAAAACTAAGAATTAATGAATGATTAAAAATTATTACCAAAGCTCCTTTGGATTGATAAATTGCAACTTCTTCTTGAGGAACATAACCAGCCCTAATTCTGATGGGTTTGCGAAGAGTACCATCTGGTCTACGAGTAGGACCCACTAATCTCTCTCCTTGTTTAAGAGATCTTTCAAGCTGTTCTGCCATTTGAGTAGAAACCTCTCCGTCTTCAATTCCATTGTTTTTCGCACTGCTCGCCATTTTTCATCAATTTCCCCCCTTTTTCTTCACAAAAACAATTGAAAGAAAAAAATGCAAAAATTGCAGAAATTTTGGAAATTGAATTCAACCCAATTCAGGTAATAGAGAGAAAGAAAAAGGGTAGAAAGCCTTTACTCAATTGAGAAGGTAAAGGTCAGTCAGCCATGGTGGCATGAAATTGGTGTGCTCAAAGGTTTAGACTTTAGAGTGTACTTCAACTGACAATAGTATACAAGGTGTTGGGGTTTTGAACTCGGTTTAGGACTTGGCCCTTTAGGTTTCCGAGATCCGACCTATTTAATAAAAACGTTATACCGTTCATGTAAACTCGAAAGTATAAAGTCATATATTTTGTAGATTTGTTCTAGCAACGATAGTAATTATTTACGAAGAACTCCGTACTACTAACTACAAGTACTACTCCGTAAGTTCTAAGAGAAGGTATTGCGTGCGTACGGACGCATGAACTATTTGGTGCGGGAGGCTTGGCTGATATATTTTCCTCGTTGGCTGAAATGTTTCATGTGTTGGCTGATATGTTTCATTTGTTGGGTGATATGGTTTTTGTGTTGGCTAATATATTCCTTTTGTTGGCTAATATGTATTTTTTTTTTTCCTTTGTTGGCTGATATCAGACATAATTTGGCTTATATGTATTTTTAGTTGGTTGATATATTTATTTTGTTAGCTGATATGTATATTTTAATTGTTGGCTTATATGTTTCATTTTGTTAGCTGATATGTTTATTTTGTCGGCTTACCTGTTGCTTTTGTTTGTTGATTTCATCCTTTTAGTGGCTGATATGCATTCTTTGTTGGCTGATATATTCCTTCTGTTGGCTGATAAGTACCTTTTGTTGGCTGATATATTCCTCTTGTTAGCTGACATGCATCTTTTGTTGGCTTATATATTTCTTTTGTTGGCTTACATGTTGCTTTTATTTGCTGATTTTATCTTTTTGTTGGCTGATATGTTTCATTTGTTGGCTGATATATTCCGTCTCTTGGCTTATGTATGTCTCTTGTTGGCTTATATATTCCTCTTGTTGGCTAATATATACATTTTGTTGGCTGATACTCTGATAGGTTCCTTTTATTGGCTGGTACATTTTTATTAATACCTGATATCAGACATTTATTAGCTTGTATGTTTTTTTTTTTTTTTTTTGCCTTATATGGGTCATTCTCCTTCTCCTATTTTTTTTAGAGAAGTCATTCTCCTTTTCTACTTTGTTTCTCACGCGAGCCTTCTTCTTCGTTCCCCCTCTTGCCACCACCAACAACAACAACACCAAGCCACCACCAGCAGCAAACCGCCACCAACAGCACTCAGACACCAGCAACTGCAAACCGCACCCTCCGTCTTCTTCAACCACTAAACCCAACCCAACCCACTCCCTCTCCTTCTCCTTCAACCACCGAACCCAAGCCATCGCACCTAGAAACCAGCGAACCCACCAACCAATCGACCACCAACCCCTTAATTTCCGGCCACCAAAACCCGCATCCCCACAACAACCACCTGCAACCGCATATCGCAACAATTGGTTCAACTTCAATCTTCCTGCACCTCCCCAAAATCACCCAATTGCGGCACCACCTCCAACCACAAATCGCAACAATTGGAGGTGCGAAACACAAATCGCACTCAAGTAAATCGCAAATTGGTGGAAGAAAGAAGAAAGAGAGAAGATAAGTGAAACAGAGAAAAATGGAGAATAGCCGCACAAACTATTGGGTGCGGATGGACGCTCCCATAGTCTGCGAAGTTCTAAACCACTAACTTTTGTACGTACGGGGTAATAGGGGAAGATAAGTTTAAATGTGTTTTATTCAAGCAACTATTGTTTGGATCTAGTTGGTAATTGATGTCATGGACCGTAGTTAACTTTAAAAATAAATATTGGTAAATCTGTACAAAGTATGAATTATATTCTATGGTACCTTCACGATTTCATCATATTGCTCAGGGATTATGGGGCAAATTTATAAAAGTTTATAATTTGGCCAAATGAAATTGGTCCTAAACCTGCATTTGAGGTTTATAACAATAATTTTTTTTAAATAGTTATTGACTCTTAAGAGAATTCCAAGTTTCTCTCTAACACTCAGGGTATTAGCGTCAACTTGGGCAAATTAGTAAAGGTATTATTGATATTGGACACATAATGTTTTAACGAGTGATTGAAACAAATGTTTGTCCTCCTTGCGACGAAACCCACAAACTTAGACCTCCTGATTTGGTGATGAATCGTCTTTGAAGGTTGTCAATGGTGATGTGTGTTCATTGTTGAAGGTATGTCACCATGAATTTCTTGAACATTATGTTGAAATCGCAGGGTTTGTTATGTTTCTTTTCTTCGACAATCGAAAATACCCCAGAAATTTGTAGATCTCCAACACACAAGCTCAGCCCTTAGCAATCAACAACTGCTGTGAGGAACGTAGCTAAAACACCGATGTAAGCTTTGGTTGAGAAGAGTTGGACTGGTGGTGCACAACCAATTTTGGAAATAAAATGAGTTAACGACGTCACTAACGGGATAAAATTTCTCACCTTCTTTAAACTTTTTTTTATTGGAGAAAAGCTTATATGACAATGCTACAAGTCCAAATATTTACGCCATGGAGATTAACGAGCTTGTGAATATCCGAGAGTAACCTGGGTAGCCCCCTCTTAAAATCTCCGAAAAATGAAATTCAAATTTCTTAACCCAAAAACCAAACAGATTCTCTTTTATCAAGTTTAGATTCAGTATAATTCAATCCGATCCATTTTTCTGGTCCGAACCGATTTCTGAACTCTCCAGCCTAGACTTTAGAGGCAACTTTTTGTTGGAATAAAATGAAATTGAATTTATAAAACCCTAACTCCTTCTTTGCTTAAGCCCCCTCTTTCTTCTTCCTCCTTCCCGCAGTCCTCTTTCTCTCTCTTCTTCTCCAAACATGCCGAAATCCAAAAGAAATCGCGCAGGTATTCTCTTCCTCCTTCTCTCCTTAGCTTTACATTCGTATTTTCCCCTATTTATTATGTTATTCTGTTAATTTTTATGATAATTTTCAATGCATTAAGAATTTCTGTGTACTGCTATACTGTGAAAAACAGAAGAATTACAGCTCGCTCTTTCATCTGATATAATTTATGCAATTGTTAGTTCTACCAGCTGTAGTTGTTTCATCTTTTTTCTATATTTTGTTTTCAATTTTTCTATGGGATTTTTGGTGTTTTTAATCAGTGAATCGTATTATTGTTCGATATTTGATTTTGGGTATGTTAAATTGTTGTCTTTAATTTTGAAGTGGGTCAGAGAGTGATTACAGAGAAAATGATGGGTTTTTTTTGTGAATTTTGAATTTGAATATGAAAATAAATTGAAAATGCAGTGACCTTATCAAAGACAAAGAAGAAGGGAAGAGAGCATAAGGAGGTGATTGTTAACTCAATAAGGGAAGCAGCAGAGAAGTTTCCCTCTGTTTACGTCTTCGCTTTCGAGAACATGAGGAATCTTAAATTCAAACAGTTCAGAGATTCTATCAAGTCCTCCGGCAGGTGATTATGATTGGCAACCGCCTTTCTTCCATATGAGTGCTTGTTATGCAGTCTGATGTTACTTTATTTCGATGTTTGACGTATTTAGGGGTGAAAGATTGAATTTTTGATACATATTATGTACTTTACTTAATGCTTGAGTGGTCTTTTCAATGGTTATGCTGTGTAATGATCACAGTTGAATAAGCATTGTAGGCCTGTAGTAGTGACTAATTGACATGGTTGTGGAATTGGTTAAATTACAATGTGTAGCTAGGTTTCTAAATTCTAATTCATCAAGAATCATATGAAGCTATTTTGCTTCTATTAGTCATGCTTCTTGCTGGTTGTTCTATGTGTTAGTTATGACTGATGATTAAATTGTGCCACTCGCTATTTCAGATTCTTTCTTGGATCGAACAAAGTCATGCAGATTGCTTTAGGTCGTTCTGCTTCTGATGAGATTAAACCTGGCCTTCATAAAATTTCAAAGGTAATGATCTGCTTATTATTTGTCTAATTTACATTTCTTGGTCAGTTTATGATCTTGTTTCATTTCTTCTTTGTTTGCTTCCTGTTTTTGCAGTTTTTGCGTGGAGAGACTGGTCTTTTCTTTACAGACATGTCAGAGGAAGAGGTCAAAAAGTATGCATGAGAAACTATTCTAAAGTTGTGTCTGTCATTGTTTATTACTTTCGCATTTCATGTATCTTTTAGGGCAATGTTTAGGGGACTAGCTGATTTTCCTTTACTTTTTCCCGGTGATAAAAGACTGTCTAAAGATGGGCTGATTTTTTAAATTTTTTTTTAATTATTTCTGTAAATCTGCTTGGGGTTTTCGCTTCAATGTTTGCATTGAGAAGCAATTGAAAGTAGTACATGGCTTTCTGAAGTTATTGTGCCAATGCTCCTCTAAATGTTGCTATTTGTGGCTTCATTTGCAGAGTTTTTGAAGAGTTTGAAGTTTTTGATTTTGCAAGGACGGGATGTCTTGCTACCGAGAAGGTTAGTTTGTATTTTGTATATAGTAACTGTTTCTCAGTTTTAAGTTTGTTCTGCCACATTGGTGGCTCATGTACTTCCTCCGTAAACGGTTATTTGCAACATTTACTAAAAGTAGGTGCTACCTATTATTTGTATCACTTCCATTTTAGGACAAAAAATATATATATGTTCACACTGCAAATACCCAACATACCCTTACTTTTTCACACTTACTTTTTATTTTATCTTTACATTACATGGACAATTTTGTATTTTACGTTTCTCTCTCTTACTTTTTCCCACTACCAAATTTTGCATAGGCCTCCGTGAACGGTACATTTGTTGCAAATAACCGTTTACGGAGGAAGTATATGCAAATGATAATATTCTCTTGCTTGGAGAAATTAAGAATATTTTGAGGCCAAAAGTCTTCTGTGCATCATCCATCATTTTTGTGCTCTCGTTCTTTGATATTTTGTATATAACTTGGAACTTGAATCCAAAGTTCATTGTTGTAGGTTTGTCTGTTTAATTAAACAAATGATGCATCTTGCAGGTGGAGCTTAAAGAAGGACCTCTGACTGAGTTCAGCCATGAGATGGAGCCCTTTCTACGCAAGCAAGGGATGCCTGTGCGATTAAACAAAGGTCTGCTATTTTCATTGTTCAGGATCTCTGTCACATCCCCAAATGAATTTCAAAGAAAAGAAATTGTGAACATTAAGTGTTTTTTTTTTTTTTTTTTTATCATGACAGGTGTAATAGAGCTTATTTCAGATTTTGTTGTTTGTGAAGAAGGGAATCCTTTGTCACCCGAATCATCTCGTATCCTGGTTAGTGTCACAATTTACTGCTCTACTGTCTCTACTACAGTACTATCTATACACTGCTTACGGTGTTGACTCTATTGAATGAAGAAATACTGTTAGATATATTGTGATGAATGTCGCTTTTACTTTTATTTAGCGTGCTTAAGAGAGCCTCAGAATTGCTTTAGTGAAAGAAAATATTCTAGTGGACATCCCTTATTAGAGACGTAGAGTGAGCATTTAGGAAGTTGACAAACTGAGGTTTGAGATTGATTTAGACCCTTTTTCAAGGAAGCTCCCAATAAATTATCTGGGTACACATGCATGGCATCTGAACATTTTCTGCTCTGCATACATGTACTTCTTTTAGGAGCTCTCTCTTTTTGGCAATCCTAAGGGGGGAGGTTGGAGGGGGGCTGGCATTACCTTCATATGTTCCAATTTGTTCCTCGTCATGTGTCCCACTTGATTAGAACTTATTGGTGGATGTAGTGATGTGGCACAAATATAGATCAATGAGATCATGAAACATAGATTGGACTCGTTATGAACTTAAGAAGAGAGGGTGTTTGGATAATAGGGATGCTATTTTGTGGTTAATAATTCAGTTTTTGATAGTTGCTAAATCATGTAATACATTGGGTTGAATTGTGTTGCAAGAATTGCAATTATCGAGACTGTTATTACTTTCTTGCCATATTTTTTTTTTGTTTCCTGCTGGTCTGCTACTGAAAGATAACTCATTGAACTTTCTTGTCTGTAGCGTCTACTTGGAGTGAAGATGACTTTGTTCAAGCTTCATCTGATCTGTAGTTTGAGAGGTTATGATTTTGAGGTGTATAGAGAAGGGTTGGAAGAATCTGACGTCGAGTCTTCTTAAAGATGTAGCAAATTTTGGTGTGAGACTGCTCTTTTTGGTAGATGAAACTTAGATAAGAGATAGGATCTTCCCCTGGTGTTTCTCTACCTCAAATGTTCAGTTTTTGCTGTCCTTGGGGAATGGGGAGCTGGAAGCCAAATATGAAAGTCATTTTATTACATAATTTGATTGTAATCGGTCTTTAAGTACTCGATGTGTAATATGTAGTGATGAACAAGAAATTTTGATGAGATAGAACAACAGCAACGCTAAATTCATTAGTCTATATTTTGTTACGGTTGTGAAATTGAAAGCTTGATAACTCTTTTTCAGTTCTCATACGATGATTCATGACCAATTCAACAATGCCATGATTTATGAACCTAAAATCAAAGAATGAGATCATATGACAGACATGCTAGACTTGAGTTAAAATTAAAAGTTATTGTTAGAAACAAGCTTCAAACTCAAAACTCATAACCATTAATTACACAAAAAGAAAACCTTAACCATATACTCCATATATCAAAGACTTTTTTCATCGACGATAACTTATACTCCCTCAGTCCCATAATATAGTTCATGTTTGTGTTTTTTCACGGTATTTAAGAAATAAGAGGAGAAAGTGGATGAAGCACATTAATAAAAGTGAAAAGTACAATCGTAGACAAAAGTTAAAGAGTGAAAGTAGAAAAAAGTACAAAGCATATGCAAAATTCAAGGTTAAATTAGGAAGTATAATGAATAAAGTTAAAATAAAGTGAGGTATAATGGTCTTTATTACCTATCCAAAAATAGAAATAGGAACAACATTTTGAATCTCCAAAATAGGAAAATAGGAAATATATTATGAGACGGAGGGAGTACTTCACTAACTTTGCTAATCATGGCGATAATCTTGACTATTGAATATTGAATATGGAAAAGGTTGATATTCTAATCATGGTGATGACAATATTGACTATTGAACATGGAAATGGTTGATATTCTAAGATATGGGTATGATTTGGATTCTAAATTTCTAATCTATAATCATCAATAAATATATATATAATAATATAATACTAAAACAAACACAAAGAATGACATATGTCACTTTATGGTGTTGTGTTTTCCCTTCAAAATCCCCTCTTTGTTTTTTTAAGCCAATGCATTCAACTACTTACTATATATTACATACAATATATTCGCCCAATCTTATGATTGTAATAATTTGATTCACATATTATTTATTTATATAATAAAATATTTTCCATATCTATAACTTTGTATCTTATAAATATTATCCCGTATGTCATTTCTTTCGATAACACAATGTACATCATATTTTATTATTTCAAATTATTAATTATTAATATATTTTGAATAAGATAATGTTGTAACAATATTAAAAACATGTTCAATTTTATGATTCGTAATACACAAATTTTCGGGCAAAATAAGTTAAGCGTAATATATAATTTTAAAATATTTCTGGTTGGTTAATAAAAAGAAAAATGGTACTTATTTATCATCGAATTTTTTTAACACTCATATATATAAGGGCTAAGACGTAAATTTGATATACTCATTGGCTAATCGACTTTTTCGCTATATTCCATGTTTAGTTTCAGGTCATACTCCGGTTCACTATTTCACCGTATTTTTGCTGAACTTAAATTACTTCCTCCGTAAACGGTTATTTGCAACATTTACTAAAAGTAGGTGCTACCTATTATTTGTATCACTTCCATTTTAGGACAAAAAATATCTATGTTCACACTGCAAATACCCAACATACCCTTACTTTTTCACACTTACTTTTTATTTTATCTTTACATTACATGGACAATTTTGTATTTTAGGTTTCTCTCTCTTACTTTTTTCCCACTACCAAATTTTGCATAGGCCTCCGTGAACGTACATTTGTTGCAAATAACCGTTTACAGAGAAAGTATTTTTAATGAAATAAAATTATTTTTGCTAAACTCAAATTATTTCTATAGTCCGTATTTCGGTAATTCTATATCAAACCAAGGAATTGTTTTTTTTTTTTTTTTTTAAAAAAAAAAATAAAAATAAAAAAAATCAAGAATTCATTCCTTGAAAACACGAAGGAAAGAAATCAGTTGATTTCAACAGATTTTGTGCCTTCTCCTGCTCCTGAGCTTCCTCTCTTCCGTCCAATTAAATTTTCTCTCTCCTTAATTTTGCTCAAAAACCCTAATTCCCCATTTCCTCCCTCTTTCAAATTTTAACCACCATGCATACATTAGGCCAAATTTCCACCACTTCCCCGATCAAAACTTCGTTCAAATCCCTAATTTCTCGAAAATTTCCCGCCCAATCATCGTCGTTGAAGTTTTCAATTAAAAATGGAGGTGATTTTAATGGTGGTTTGAAGGCTGTTGCGGCGGATACTAAGGCTGTGGATTCTCGCCCTTTCATTGTCATTGATAATTATGATAGCTTCACTTATAATCTTTGCCAGGTTTGTTTTATTCTGATTTTGCTGTTTCTAAAGTTGGATTGTTGATTGAGATAGTTTTATTTTTTTTGCATGTGTTCGTGTGAATTTATTTCTGCTGATTTTCATATAATATTACCAAATTTGATCAAAATATTTTTGCTTGTGACATACTAATGATGAATGTAACTTATAAGCACAATTTGGGTAGATTGATGCATTGGATTCTGTTGAAAGTGAAGGGGAGAGCATTGGGAATTAGAGCATGTGATATGAAGTGAGGATTATTTGATTTTAGAGGTTTGAGTTTCATGATTTTTGAATTTGTTGCCTTTTTCTGCCTTGCTGGTATGTATAGATATATATATTTTGAGCTTAGAAGGTCAGTTAATATATTGCATTGGAGGTGCTGGATTCAATGAGGATGAAGACAAGGAGGAGGGGGGGGGGGGTCATGGCTGGATAATTAGCTAGGGAGAAAAGGGTATTTTTTTAAGCAGCTAATGTACAAGATTCAGTTATTGAATCATTTGTGATGGACATTCAGCGAATTCCAAAAGTTGTAGAGAGTATATAGTCCATAGTGCATCATGGAGTTTGGAAATTGGTTGATACAAAATGGTTGCATGACTTGCATCTATAAATATTAATGACAAATGTGGATATTCTTATAACTAAATGAGTCAAGAAGCAATAATAATATGGGAATCAAATAAAAATACAAAATTTTGTTGTATTTTCTTCATATGGCAGTGTGGAATTTGGAAATCGGTTGATACAATATGGTGGCACGTGTAGATCAGTAGGTAGTAACGGAAGCTACGGTTTGTTTTGCTTGTCAGATTTCTATTTAAATCTAGTTGAGAAGCTACAAAAAGTTTGACAGTAAATGAAATAATAAAATTAGGTGTTTATAGTCCAAAGTGCACCATGGCATTTAGAAGTTGGTTGATAGTTGTTGCGTCACTCACAACTCATCAACCTCGTGTTAGGAATTATCATTATTAATTGCCAGTTGGATTCTAGATATCTGATGTATGTCTTGGGTTCATACTCACATGCCTTTCTCATAGAGTTTGAAATGTCCAACCATCATATTAATGTTTTTGTGTCCTTTTATAGCGATGGTATTTGGGCTGTAGTCTAGTAATACATGGTGCTTTACCCATTTGACTCAGTTGGGTCACGTGTGCATCCTAATTTTACCTGGGGGTGGGGGGGTGGGGGAGGGGGTTGAGTGTTAGTGAGAACAAGAGTGTAAGGCTCGGGGCATGTATAATTGTTTAGGGGGTTGTAATGATGAGAACAGGACATTAGAAATCCTCTTCAATGAAAACAGGAAGTCGCATGGATATTGATTTTCAACTATAGTATCAATATTTGTTCAATCATGAAAAGGTGTTGATTACTAAGTTTTGAGCTACTAGCCTGGTGTTGATGTAATGTAATGGTCGCAGGTTTTACAAATTTGAAGGGTCAAAATCTATAACTTTGTTTGTTTAAGTAATAAGATAAATGGTAACAAGCATGGTATGTTTCCCTTTTCTTAGAGCTTTGATACTCTTTATGAATAGTGAACTTTAGTTGGAGGAATAGTTATCACTTCTTATCCTAACCTGATGGTCTTGGGTTTGATGCTTGTCCCACATTCCCACCAGGTGGGGCTCCCCCCGCCTTCCCCCCCTTTCCCCTCTTGGTTGGGCCGCCTTCATGCCTTCAACTACTGGTCATGGGTTTATTGCTCATCCCACTAGGTGGGGGTTTCCCCCTTCTTCTTTTCTTGGTTTGGTCACTTTACCTTGTCCATAAAGACTCTTCATGAATATGGCTGCTGTCTTGTGATTTCAGTCATAGTTACGTTTTGCAAAAGTTAAAATGTTCACCTTTAATGCCAGAGAAATCTGCCTTTTGAAATCTTTATTTTTCCAAACTCTGGTGTGGATATTGCAAGAGTATACTCCAAGCTTCCTTCTTTGTGTTCTTATACAAATTGGATTGATGACCTAAGTAGCCTTCTGACATAGTTGCTTTATCTGAATATTGTATCAGTGTATCTGAGCTTTAAGTTTCAGACTTGGAAGATTGGTTTAAAGTTACTGCATAAACAGACATTTAAGTTGCTGGTTACAAGAAAGCCATTTTCTAACTTTAAATATTATGTTGTTTTCATTTTCAAGTATGTGGGAGAATTAGGTACGAATTTCGAGGTATACAGAAATGACGAGATCTCTGTGGAAGATTTGAAAAGGTAAGGTGGGAGAAGAGTGGTTGAGTTTATTTATTTTTGTTATGTTAATTTGTTGCTTGCAAGTGTGTGTGAAGTTTTAAGCATTGTATTAAATTTTCTTTTCTTCAATTAGATTAAAGTTAATTTATGCTGTTCAAACTGTCGTACCAGGAAAAATCCAAGGGGAATCCTTATATCTCCGGGTCCAGGTGAGAGCTTTTTTGCTCTTTTATGTATTTGTTTATTTTTTTTAATTTTTTTTAAAATCTATGTACAATAATGTCCATTTTGATTGGAGTAAATTTTTTTGTTCTTTGGCTTTTTCATGGTAATGGACTACCTTTAAATGGATCATATAGTTTGGCTATTCCTTATTATTACAAAGCTACCAACACTCAGTGTGTGTTTAATCATGAAGCAGTCTCTCAATATCTCAGGTTTACAATATATCTGCCAAGGGTGGAGTCCTTTCAGATGCATAGGAGTGACGTTGGGTGTGGACCTGATACAAGTCCTACATCCCTTTTTTTTTTCCCCTATAGATTAGTGGAAGTGAAAGAAATATTGACCTTAAGGTTACAATTGGAAATTGTGAAAGTTGGGTAAAAGGGGGTGGGGGTAAATGATCTCATTTTCCTGGTAGAAGATCTGAACCTATACATGTTATCTGGTACTTCGTATCTTGATAGTTTTGAACTGTTTGCATACAAATCTGCAAAAATAAAAAGAAGATGAGAATAGTGAGCAAGAGAGACAGACAAGTTGAAGCCTTGGAATTCACAAAAGAGGGGGTTCAGCCTCAAGTTTTTTTACACAAAATCATCTCTGATATCTTTTTGGCTGAATGTTTGTGAACAGGTTAATGTTTTTTTGGCTGCAGAAACTCTTAGGAGGTAAGGATTACAACACCTTAGGAGAACAGAAAAAAAATAAATTTATTTATTATTATTTATAAACTTAGAGTATGTCAATTGTTTAATTGGGTTCAAATGCTAGATAAATAGACAGATATAATTTTTTGTAGAAGTGTTTCCTCATAGACATCCAATTGTTGTCCTACTCTAGTTTCCTTTTTTAATTAAGTGATGGGGCTGAGTAATAGGATCCTAAGTTTGAAAGATTTTTGAAAATCCAATAACTACTTAATAGTGATGATGTTCATGTACATGGATAGAATGTATCACATCATCATCTGAGTTTTGGACAACTACTCTTGTTTGAGGAGTAGAATTTTTATATGCTTTAGATACTTTCATACTTCTGACATTTTGTACTTCTTTTTATCTTCCGAAACCTAAAAATTCTGTTCATTTTCGATTGAAAGATGAAGTCCAAGTGCTTGGTTGAAGGGTTGGTCTATTCATATATGTATATGTGGCTATATGATTGCTGATGTTAATATTGTTGCCCTTGTTAACAAAATGCTCTTGCATTTACATTGAAAGGTACACCACAAGATTCAGGAATCTCTTTAGCTCTTGTTGTGGAATTGGGATCCACTGTACCAATATTTGGTGTTTGTATGGGTCTGCAGTGCATTGGAGAGGCTTTTGGAGGTAAAAATTCACTTTTGTTTCTCAATTGGCTTAGAGGCTTATTTATACTGTAAATTGGAATATTAGATATGATGCTGCTTCATATTCTGCTTTAACTTCTCTGTCTACCTATGCTGCTGTCAGTATTGCTGTTGTAAAGTGTCATTAAATTGTTCTTTCAGGCAATTGTTTACTTAGCTTGTAACAGCTGTAAGTTTGAATATAATTAAGCAGGTTAGGGGTGTACTCACATTGTGATTTGTGAATTACACATTCTAAAGAGGTCAAAACATCTCTAGCTGGACTTACATTATTCTTACCTTTTTTAGAGGATGAGCATGTACTGAGGTTAAAATGCTCTACTCAAGAGTCCAGAGCTCATGATGATGTGAAGTTTTGAACCTTATATGCTGTTTTACTGGTGATGTTAAAAGAATATACTGGAGTTACCAGTACTGAATGAAATGCTTGAACCTTATATGCTGTTTTACTGGTGATGTTAAAAGAATATACTGGAGTTACCAGCACTGAATGAAATGCTTGAATTATTGTGAATTCTAAGTCTAAGAAAGGTATACCTGCAATTAAAAGGAATGTACTTGTATTAGTCGGGAAAGGGAATCCATGGCTTTGAGTGCCATCATGTGTTTATCATCTCAATTTGAATTTCTTCAATATCACCCAATATTTATGGAGTCAATAAAGGATCCCCTTGTCATTCATAGAAAATGGGGGAAAAAAAAAGCTGAATTACTCGTGAAGACTTACAGCCCATACTTATGTACGAAATATATTATTGCATGGGGTGTTTACTGCTGTTTCATCTTACTTGTTGACTGTTTCTGATGTATACTATATTTCTATTCCAAGTGTGTGTTTGTCTCTTGCAGAGCCTTTTTTTCTTCTGATAAATCATGTTACCATAATAATTTTACAGGGAAGGTTGTGCGTTCCCCATACGGAGTTGTGCATGGGAAAAGCTCACCGGTGTACTATGATGAGAAGGGGAGCAATGGCTTGTTTACAGGCTTACCCAAGTAAGTGCTTTGTTGTGTATAGTTTTTTATGATATAAGTCTAGATCAATAGAGTTATGCATCAAAATCAAGAGGTGCTACACTACTACAAGTGATCTAATTTTGGAGTAGTAATTGATTTATATAGCAAGGTTTAATCATGCAGGCGATTTGTAGTGCTCTTTTTATTTAGATTTACAGGATTGCAACTATGCATTTTTTTTGTGTGTATGTGTGTGTGTGTAGTTGTAGTATAAGGTGTTGTTGAACTGTCAAAATTGTTTTTTTAGCTCGTATCTACTGAAGAGGAGCCTTGTTTCATTGTCATTGATTGAAGTTAAGCTATGCGTCTATGTTAGGTTATTTTTGTAGGTCGCCTTCTGTTTGAGTGTTTCAGCATGCTAACCCTCTTCTATCACTGATGTATGCTAGGTTATAGGAATGGAGCCTCCTACTATTGCTCTTCTTATCTGCATCCTGTCACCAAGTCTGTTGGATAGTTTAAAGTGCTAACTTGATAAAGATCATCGGTTTAATAAAGGATTTTCTATGAAAACTAGGTTTTTCTTTTCTTAATGAAAAAGAAGAAAAGAAAAACAAGTAGTTCTAGCTGTGTTCTACTGGAAAATGAAGATAGCTATGTTTTACACGTGCGTTAACTTGCATGTTTCCGAAAATGTACCTTCTATTGTATATTCCAGACTTTAATGATGGAAATTTCTCTATGTTACAGCCCCTTTACTGCTGCAAGATATCATAGCCTTGTAATTACCAGAGATAACTTTCCTGATGAGCTTGAAATTACTGCATGGACCGAGGATGGGTTGGTCATGGCTGCTCACCATAAAGAATACAAAAATTTACAGGTAAAAACTTGTCTACAGCTTTATGCCATCTTCTACCCCTATTACCCCCACTCCCAACACCCAAAAAGGAAAGATCTTTAAGGGAAGGAGAAAAAAAAAAATCTGTCCCCATTCAGAAGGAAGACCAATAAGTTCAGTTCACTTTGAGACATGCATACTGGAACAAGTCATGGCCTCGCATTTTGTAGTTTGAGGCGCAATTTTTTTCTTGGGCTTCCTGTTGAATTAGTTTTAAATGATTCATTTGTTTACCTAGTCTATCACTTTGTTCATATACAATTATTGATTATGGTATATTGAAACTGGAGATTGAAGAGTGTTGACACAGGAAATATGGGAACAGATCTTACTAATCAAATAATTTTGTTTTTCTGAAAGAAAGAGGTGTGAGTTTGTCATTTTGATCATTGCAATCAAAGATATGCTAATATGCACTAGAAAGAATGAATAAACATATGCTGGTTCCATTTTTTGTATAAAGTGGTCTCTTGGTAACTTCCATGGTTTTTGTGAGAGGCATTTTTGTGTTGGCAGCTCGCCCTTTTAATTTTGCATGGTTTCTTTTCGGAATTAGACATTAACACCTTTTTCATATTCAATTTGCAGGGAGTCCAGTTTCATCCTGAAAGTGTTCTCACTCCAGAAGGTAAAGGGATAATTAAGAATTTCATCAAAATGATCGAGAATAATTGAACAAACGAATTGCTTTGGAAGCTTTCAAAGTGATTTTTTTTATTGTTGTTAATTTATGAATTAGGTTTACTTGGCAAAAAGATCAATTTAATCTCTATTGAAACAATAGAATCACATCTTGTTGTAGCTATTTAAGAAAACAGATTTGCTACAATTGTGTAATTATTGTATCAAGTCAAAAGGATATATGTTCAGAAACACCTTTCAATCCCCTCCATATCGGAGGAAATGTCTTTTATCTCTTCAAGACCAGAAGTTTGTGAACTCCTCAAGTTTCAGAATATAATTCGAGCTATGTAAATATGTAATAATATGATGGGGTTGACTGTTGCCCGATGATTGGTTCAGTCGAAAATACAAATAAGAATGAAGTCGCCTTTCTGGCAGCTCAAACCTCTGCAGATTCGAGCTGTAATGAAAGAAAGTAGCTTTCGTTGATTTACTATACTGTATGGCCTTATTTTTTGACATGAAAATGAAGTATGTTGAAAAAAGGTCATGCATAGTTTTGTCTTGGCTCACAAAAGTCATTATCATTTGACCTGTAAAACAATCTGAATTCACCTGCCTTTGGATTTATTGTTTAGGAGAGAGAATGATGGGATTCAACCTGTTTTTACTCTTATATTTGATGATGCGTACTCTTTTTCTCATGTGATTTCGTGCAAGTTTTGGAATTGATTGACTTTAAACTTTCTCCTGTAGTAACGATAATGCTGGCCTTGACATTTACTCTATCTAGTAAAGACAGTAGATGATTAAACTCAAGTATTAACAAGTTCCTCAATCTTTACGCAATTTGGATAATTGATGCAAAATAGATTGGATCAAGATTTCAACAAACTCGAGCACAGTTCATCATCAAGAACTCTTATTGCTAAGCTTCGATTAAGAAGTAAGTTGGTTATTTCTCGTCCTGGTGATGAATCAAGTGGCCTGCTCAGAGATGAATCTTACACCACCAAGTCCGACTAATTGCTAAACAGTTAGGCAACTAAAGATAGGCAATATGTTGAAAGGGCACCTACTTGAATCTAACTACAATTTGCTCATTATGATTTTTACATGTTTTACATCTCATATTCGAAAATTGACTTTCCGATCAAAGGGTACGAGTTGATCGGACGCAGGGCACGACATGGTGATCGGATAGACGGAGTAACAAAGCGAACCATAGGCTGTGAATTTGGATGGTGACATTGTCTATTTGTCTTGGTATAGCCAGGATCACGTTCACACCATAGACCATTGCACTTATGCCCACAATTCATCTTTGTTACAGCAAAAAACATAATTTTTTTTTGTTAATATACTCCATCATCAATTTTCAAATTTTCTTCTGCAGTTTCAGTCAAACAGAACAGAAATTACAGCAAAATTACCACTATTTTTCATAGTAATTAACTGTCATTTCATCAATAATGTCCCAATTCACAAAATTTCAATTAGTACTCCAATGAGTCCAATCCCAGATAAAATTATACCACAAACAAAGATAGAAATAAGATAATTAACCCTTCACTACTGTATCTAATACATTAATTTATCATACTAATATCAATTACACAAAAGATCAAATCAAATAAACCACAAAAAATTAAAAAAATGATAACACAAGTACCCTGAAAATTTGGTTCTTTTTTCAAGAGAGAAACTTGAAAAATCAGTACATTCTAGCACATTTAGTGATAACACTACAACCTCTTCTGTATCTGTTAGCTGGTGTAGCACCACAACTGTAATATGAAGATCCTGGTGTTGAACAAGGCACAACATCTCTCTTCAATGTTTCATAACTTATATATTTTCTCCTCATACTCAAAATTCTTCTGTTTATCTCTGAATCAACCTCAAATTCTTCTGCTTCAGTAGCAACAGGGCAATTTCCCATCTTTTCATCACAAACCCTTTTCACAATTTCATCATTTTCTGTTGAATTTAAGCTCAAATCTGAGTACCCTTTTGAGAATATGAGATGGGTTTCTAAGATTATGAGTAATGTAATAAGTAATTTGAGTTTGATTGTGAGCATTGCTAATTTGGGAGTTTTGTGGGAAAGATTAAAGGGTTTTTGTTTGATAAGTGAGTGAATTTTTTTTTGTTTTTTTTGGGATTTTGTTTTTGGTTTAACAAAAGATTTGATTTTTACCTAGTTGAGAGACATTAAATATGGTAAGGGTCACGGTCTGAACTAGTGGTCCACCGAGAGAGAAAGAGAGATACTAAATGTTTGCTTGTTGTGTCATAAATAATATGGTTATAAAGGGCCAACTCAAAGTGATATGGCATGAGTGACATCTTGGCAGAGCAACTCGTATTTATGGATGTCAGCTAAGTTAGTCGATTAATTTTCGAAAAACAGTTAAGTATGATATTGTATGAGATCAAATACCTTCTATATCGCTCTTATATTTTGGCTATAGTTATGGGATTGGCAATGACGTTTTTTCTATTGTCAATTTGTCATCCTTCATTAATCATTATTATGGCTTTTATTTTCAATATTAAGATAGAAGCCAACTTTAGTTAGGTCGATATGTTCCTTTCATAGGTGGTCAACATATATGATGGTTTTTATGATGATCAACAAAAATCATTCACCTGATTGGTAATTGTAAAATACTCAACAAATGTATGAATTTTTAGAAATTACATGACTAGATAAAAGTCGTAAAGGGAACTAAACATTTACACTTTTATTTTTCTCTCAATAATCTCTTAGATTAGGATATAAATTATAAAATTGATTAGCACAAATGATAATGTGTGTGTTGGGATAAAATTTCTAGTAAGAGTAAATTATTTAAAGATTTTATTCAATTATGTTTAGTCCTTAGATTTTTTTGTGTCGTTATCTTGAAATTACTACCAACATGGTACTATAAAAACCACTTTATGTTATGGTTGTTTATTGTACTGGTGGGTCAAATTATGACAATTGCCACTCATTGGCAAATTCAAGCTGTCTTCATAGGTTTGTCGTAAGCTGGAATATGCAAAGTGTATTCGTTTTAAACTCTTTATTTGTTTAGGGTAGTTGACATATCTTGACTATGCTGGTTTCGGATCGGATTAGAGTGACATATGATACATAGTCACATACTGATCCTAAACATAATTAAGTTACCTAATCCATATCCAAAATAGATCCGAAACTTGTTATGATACAATAAATAATGTATCATGTACACATGCACCGACTAATAGGAGATATTGTATTTCAATGAAGTATTCTCCATCACTTAGAAAGCCCGACCCATAAATTCAGGTTTAGGTGTGAATGCTCAAAGGATTTGTGTGTTTCCATGTTAGGTGTTGTGGCTTTAGATTAGATCTGTCTTGATCAATTGAGCTTATTGGTTCATTGACCTTCATTATAATGTACTAATTATAGCTCCACTACTCTCCACAAAAAGAGGGAAGCAATCATCGCCAATTTAGACATAAATAATGTAGGATAAGAGGGGTGATATAGTAAATAAAATTAGCCAAATATATTCCGGTACTTTGTAATAAATTAAAAACGAGTCAAATCTTGTAAAACACCTAAATGGAGAAGTAAGTTGAATTTTAAAGAATAAATGGAGTATAATCAATTCAAATTTCAATGCTAACAAAAGTTTTTGTTACAATAACCAACACGATAATTGTAGTGCTAGAGAATAGCTAAAAACACAAAGAAATTAATCATACATTCATACAAAAGACTAGCTAGCATATTATTGAAACTAGTATCGTGTTAATGTTGACTATTGAGGTACGGAGTAATATTTTGTTATCGGCTAAGCTAGTAATAAAGTAGTAATTAACATTTAGGCCTAACATTTAACATTTAACAAATGTAATGCAAAAAAGTCATGCATTAATCAAACTCTTCATCATTTATGAATCTTTTTGCAATCAACATTATTATTGAACAATTCCTCCATGAAAGCCTTCAAGTTCATATCAGACGATCCACACTCGTTGACCGCTTCGACCGCCAATTCTCTCCATTTCTTAGCATTCTCCTTAATCTCTTCACTTTCCATAACCTCCTCCAAACACCACTTAATCTCATCACTCTTAACTAATACACCACCTCCTTCTTCACTCACATTGACCCTTACCCCGGCCTTCCATAAATCCTCCATCAATTTAGCATTTGTCATTTGATCCGTCCATTGTGGAAACCCGACCATGGGGACACCATATGCTAGACTCTCCAATGTCGAGTTCCACCCACAATGTGTCACAAAGCACCCCACTGAGGGGTGGGATAACACCTCCACTTGGGAGCACCATGGGACTATAAGCCCTTGTTGTTTCAGCTCCTCCAAGCAACTCAACTCTTCTTCATTATTACCCTCTACATTTATTCCATGGCTCGCCTTCTCCCTACTAATGACCCACAGGAACGGCCTGTGGGTCTGTATCAGGGCTCTAGCTAACTCCTCCATCTGCGGCTTGGATAGCACTGAGATGCTTCCAAACGACAAGTAGATCACCTTGGAATTCTTTCCTTGCGAGTTTAGCCATTCCATGTAATCTGCCTCCTTAGATTGTTGGAAGAGGTCCCCTTCAAAGGATTTGTCGGAGGGGTCCTTTCGATTCAAGAAGGCGGAGGGAAGGATAGGGCCGATAGAAATCAAGTTGAACCTCTCAATAGCTTTTAAAGCATGAACTTCTAAAGCTTCAAATGTATTCACTAAGATTATTGGTTTATCATCAAGCTCTAATTGTTGTACTTGCTCTTGAAATGAAGGGATGGCAAAAGCGTAAAGGGAATGGTTGGAAGGAAGAAGGAATGAAGGGAGGTCACGTGCTTTGAGCTTCAATGGCATGTTTGGTAATTCTAACGACCATGAAGGGTCTTTTTCACATTCATTTATAGCCTCACCATAGCCATTGAAATAGTAGTAGTAGATATTAAAAGTCATGGCAGGTTGAACCCAAAGGAGCGTGGATGGCACGTGAAACTTACGTGCCACCTCGGCGGCCCAAGGTATGATTGTGTGCACTACACATGTAATTTGTTTACCCTCGACAACACTCTTGTCAAGGAACTCCGATAAGGCCTCAACCCCACGCTGGCGAAACGTTGAGAGGTAGTTCAGTATATCTGCATCGGGGACCTTAAAACTATCGCCATACCCGTCAGAAAACGTGGTGAAGTTTATACCCTTAGGAACCGTGGCTTTTTTAAGGCATTGGTGGGCAGAGGTAGCAGTGATAAAGGTGACATCGGCCCCAGCTCGTAGGAGCAGCTTGGCGAATTGGAGGGCCGGATTGATGTGGCCTTGCGCTGGGAAGGTGACTAGGAGGAAGTGAGGCTTTTGTTTCTCCATAGAAGGCGGCGAGTGATGTTAAAAGAAATAAAGTTATGAATTTGCTGTGATGCTCTTATCTTAAAGATTGTGAATAATGTTTGTAGTGGAAGTGAAAATTGGATATTTTTTTTGCAAATTGTTAGTTGTCCATGTATGTGATTATGATTAGATAGTATTTATTATATGATAATAGGTGGCTGACAGCAAGCTATTCAGTATAAATTTGCAAGATTATAAAAAATAATCCACAGAATATTCGTTGATTATAATTTAGGCTATATAGCAAGTGGCAACCCATAAAAAATTGAGTACGTCTTTAAGCTTGAAATACATTGCATCTAAGAGTAGCTAAAACAGTGCTCCTATGAGTCCTACGCGCATGACATGCTCAACCTCGAAAGGGAGAGCATGGCCATGAGCACCAGTTCTGGTACTTTCAGAGTTGTTGCGACTCCGCTCACAAGTTAAAGTGTGGGAATCAATTTAAAGGTGCTGAAATCACTTCCACTCTCAACAGTCTTACTGTATATTAGCAAAAGAAGTCAACAGAAGCTAGACAGTGATGAGATAGAAACTACTTCTAATGTTTGACTAACTTCAGTGGCTCACTAAGTCACTAGTCACTACCTAATGTTTTTGTACTGCACAAGCCTACAGCTTAAGGACAAGAAGAGGGGGAAAAAAGCAGACTGAAAAGCATATTTTGTCAGGTACTTTGAAAATTGATTAACGGCTGTAACAGATCCAAATCTATACAAGACAAGAATGGCTGAGCCTTGTTACTCTCGTGAGCCTACTGCTTTCCTAGCTTCTGATACAGGTCGATAATAGGGATGCTAGTGAATTATTAGATGATGATACTTGTCCAAGTGTTAGGCTCGGCTAGTTTATGAAGGTTTGGGCCGTTTGGCTGGTCTTTGAAGTGTTTAGTTTTGTTGGGTATCGAATGTAGGTAACAGAGGTAAACGAGGAGTTCCAGTAGAATTTAGGTCTGGAGCTATAAGGAAAGGAAGTAAAAGGCTTCTAATAATGGCTCAAGTCCTGTAAACTTATGACATATTTGAACCTTTCCATCTAGAGTGTTTATGGACGACTCTAGGGAACTTGGATAAAAATATGGCAAGCTTTTTCAGCTATTTGGCACATTCGATGATCAAAAACAGACTACAGAAATCTACATTTTAATTGGCATTCTAGAAAACAATAGCTAATGCATTGCAAGGTCTGCAACTAAAAGGCGTAAAGAGGAAAACAAGGATAAGCTAATTGCATGAGCAAGCCGAGCAACTAGCAGTAATCAAAAGAAACAATCAGATTTCAGCAGAATACTACTCATATTAGATTATTATTTACAAAATACAACATTTAATGTTTAGTTGATTCAACTTAAATTATGGTTGGCGTAGTTTAAATCGTATAGATCTGGATAATTTCAACAGAATGAAAACTGTTAATTGTCTATACAAATCCTATCATAATAAATGTAGCAGCTCAAAGAGTGAGCTTACCCAAATTCTTTGCATTTCTGGAAATTCCATGGCTTGACCCTCTGTCTTCTTGCTCATCACCAGGTAGAGCCCTATAACATGAAGAAGCCTCTTCAGTATCTGAAGCTCCAGGCCTTTCAGTCAAAAACTGCTCCCAGAAGTGGTCATTTACTCGGGCAGGTGCAGCAGGAGTAGGATCCTGGTTATGACTCCGAGTCTCTTGTGATGATGAGGAATTGGCAACATTACCAATTGGATGATTGCTTTTTGAAGCCACCCCCAGTCCATCTCTATTACTACCGCTGGCATCAAGTTTTGTCCCTTGAGATCCACTAGCATCCACGTCCATATGGGTTGCTCTACTTGAATAGGCATTTTGATTGAGTTGTACAGGGGAAGAAGCTAATGAAAGATTCAACTGGCAGCATATCACATCACATTCTTCTGCTGACACCATGTTTTGCTGCATAGACGGCAAACCTGAACATTCCTTTACTCCAACTTTGTCCGACAATGAAGCATCCATCTTAAATTCAAGGCATGTTCCAGCGTCTGACAAATCGAAAGTTTCTGTGGCAAATGGCAGCGTACATATACCCAATTCTGCATCTTTTGGGTCTGTCCCAGATGATCTACTTGTTGGACTTGCCCAGTCTTCATTTGAGCAATGTGTACTATTTGAGACCAAATTCATCTTAGAAACAGCTGTTGACAGCTCTAGTTTAAGTTTATTCGACAAATCTTGCTGATAAATACTAGCAACCTCTGGTCTGCAAAAGCTTTGGTTATCCCCAAAATTATTCTCCCCTGCTGGTAGAAAGTGATCGGATCGGGGCAACCGCCTCTTCTTGTTATATGCCATGAGGTCCATAGCATCTATTTTCTGAGAAAGATGTTCAACAAAAGCAGGATTTTGAACTGCTTTTTGCAAGTAGGTAATTAGCTTCTCTTGCCTTTTCTCCATATCGCAAAGTCGCAGCGTGACATCTTCAAGTTGAGACTTTGCCGCACAATGGTGCATATTGAAACCTGAAACTTTTGCATCAAGTTCATTTTTCTCACGACTGAGCTTTTCCATCTCTTCCTCAAATGCTACTCTTTCTGGATCTGGTGGAGGATGACTGTGGCTATGGACAGGCTTTCGCCGGTGGATATTTTTCAAGAGATGCTTCTTATCTTTTATAAAATCATCATTCGCAAATTCCCATTTTTCTGGGTCAATCTTCCGAAATCCCTGCCAAAAAAAAAATTAATGTTCCATGTTCAGTCCACCTGACATGATTATTAGCCTTAAACCAACCATATTCAGGCTCTTATTTTCAAACAAGCCCTTAATTTAACAAAGAAACTTGAAAGTTGAAATAACAAGGAGTAACAATGACCAACATCAATGTAATCGGAAGACACCTCCAGCAGTACACTATTACGAAATCACAGCAGCGCTAGGTCATTCACCTTGAGTGTAATGAATAACGATACTTCACAAGCAGATTCCAACTTTCTGAATCATGAATTTCACAATTTAAATCAAAGGTTGACATGTCAAATAAAAAGATGGGGATCATTATCAGGATTGACTACATCCAGATTTCAAATTAAACAGCTAAACAGCTCCTAAAATCCAAACATAGTCAACACAGACCCTAATGAGTAACAGTCAACTAATTTCACGGTCTAAGATATCCAGAATCTGTACAAGCAATCAAATTCTCATCACTCACAATCATAACGACCCATTTCTTAGCTCAGAATCTCAGATATACAAAACCACAAAAGGCTACGTTACATTTACCATATTCACAATTATATCAACCCATGTCTTAGCCCAGAATCTCAAATACACGAAAAACTAATTGTTAAAGAGCCTCTCATGAAGCTCATTCAAGGATCAAGCGAAAGCAGTGTAAACCCTATTAGCACAAAATGTAATATACGTAGTACTTAAAAATCTTGCACTACACCAACCACAAACCACCTACCAACCTACACTATCTTTGATTCAGTAATTGTTTCACAGAAGTTGTCTGAAACATTTGAAGCCAGGGGTGATTCAGTAATTGTTTCATAGAACTTGTCTGCATTTTGTCTAAACTTAATAGACATGACACATGAGGTGGGAAACTCTCTCGTACGGTTCTAAGGGAAGGAATTGACCCTCCTATTCAGACCAGGGAGAACAAGTCATTCGACAACTCAATCAATCAGGTGATCTTTTCCCCTACTACGGATCCCATACTGCCTCCCATAACTAAACATCCATAACACCAATTGCTACAGGAATACCGTTTAGAACAAAGTTTGGCGTTCAATCAGCCTATTAATTCCTGAACTAATCTTACAATCAAGCAAGTTCTTAAATTCGCATAGATAACCAAAAGTCCAGTACAATAACACAATCAACACTTCAACAACACCTATTTATATAAAAAACATCATAAAATTCATAAGAAATCGAATAAAAACTACAAATTTCCTCAAAAACGATTAAAAAACCTACGATTAAGCAAATTAATAAACATCATCCTAATAAACAGAACAAAAACTACAAAAGTCCTAAAAAAATGAATCAAAAATAAGATTAACGCAAATTAATTAACATCATCATAAGAAACAGAACAAAAACTACAAATTTCCTAAAGATAAATCAAAAACTAATATTAAGCAAATTAATTAACATCAACATAAGAAACAGAATAAACCTATCAAAATTCGACATAGTTGAATCAAAAACCTAAAATTAAGCAAATTAATCAAAGTAGAAAACGAAAAAAAATTGAGAGAAAATTACATAAGTGTTGAGCTGACGAATGAAACTGGAGAAATTGCTATGCTTGAAGTAAGTAGGAAGCAAAAGCCTAGCAAATTCAGGAGGATTCCAGACGATGAAACTAGTGTTGGAATCACTCCAAGATACGATCTCGTTGGTCGACGGATCGTCTACCATGTCGTATGTCTTCAACAGAAACGGCGCCGGACCTCCGCTACCACCGCCGCCATTGCCGGAAGTTGAGGTTTCCATGGCTGAAACTGTGGAAGGCCGAGGAGAGAGGAAGTGAGAGGAGGCGGAGAGAGAAAATGAAAAAGAGTGGTTGTTGAAGAAATTGTTTTCTTCTACTTTTTTTTTTTTTCCTTCTATTTTTATGTTCGAAGTTGTCGATTTTGACTTTTTTTTTTTTAAGACAAAATGGTGGATGTTATTCATGTTAAGTCAAAAGTCTTGATTTTTTTTGAATGCAAGATTGCAACGTTTACTTGAACTTTGAAGTTTTTGCCCTTGGCCATGGCTCCAATCAGTTTTTTTTTTTTTGACTCACTAGAATAATATTATCATTAATAAATAGACATACGACATTTATAATAATCTAATATATATAAATAAAGTAGACATTTTTCAAGAGCATTTGGCCCGCCACATAAGCAAAGGTATATTTTCGACCAATTAAAAATTATATTTTTATTTTATTTTGGAATTAAAAAATTTGTTTGCCACCTAAACAAAAGTGACGAATGAGATTTAAGAATTTTGCCACGTAAGTAAAATCAACGGATATTGATTTATTAGGATTTAATTTATTTAAAAAACTAAAAATTATCTCTTAAAGTAATCATCTTTAGATATAGGATTTATATACCTATTATTATAAGATAAATTTTGATAGTATTTATAATAAGAAATAAAAATTATTCCTTAACTATAATTAAATTAAAATTTGTGATATTTCCCATTATAAATTGACGCATCATATGACACCAACAAAATTTCGTATCAATACAAAACCAAACCAAGCAAATTTTGTGTCATTAATTTTGTGTCAGTTTTATAAGGTCATCAATGGCTGGGTAATTCTTAGCCTAATTATTAAAACCCATGTTTAAATGTATATTTGTGATTATTGCTTAAGTTGTGTTTATTTGGGATACTTAATGATTATATGTTTATGTTTTGTTTACTGAATTTTGTTTTTACATGCAGATCTAATTTAATCAGAGAATTATATTAAAGCAAAAATCTTTGGAATATCAAAGTACGAGTTTCTCGCCTGATGAACCTATTGGATGAGGAGGTATTATATCTTTATAAATCGTTTAATTTATTAAATCTTTTAATGAACCTTTTAGTTTTTATCAATTAATTTTATGATTAAAACAAATTTTTTGTGATTTCGGTAGCTTAATTAAGTCATAAAATTAACTTAATTTTTTATTTTTAATTACAGGGTGATTACGTTCATGCCTCAATTAAAGTCAACTTTGTTCTACAATTTTGTTCAAAATTGATTGAAGGAAAAGTTTACTCCATTAGATACTTTTCAGTCGTAAATAAGAAGCAAGCGACAACAAAATATTGATTCAATTTTCCAAAATACTATTGTTTGGCCGATTGGGGACGATGAAAAATTTCCAATGCATAGATTTAATTTTGTATAATTACAATTTTTAGATTAATTTCACATTATTATTCACTTTCTGGTAAATATTTTACTTTATTTTATAAGACTACAAAGATTAATTTTATATACATTTTATTTTTGCTAACAAGTTCAATTTATCCACTTTTATTAGATGAAAGAGATATGGGTGTGAACAAAGTTGGTGATCCTATCGATTTTTTTTTTATACAAATTTTTTTACATCGAATTATTACGTCTAATAACTATTATTTTTAATGTTCTTATTAAAATATTTATTAGGGAATAAATTACATAGATTAATAAAAAATTATCTTTAACAAACAATAGCAAAGTAATAAAAATATTATGAGTATGATCTAATTACAAAAATCATTTTTATGAGATTTTATGTATAAAAAATCGTGGGATATTAGGATTTAAATTATTAAAAAAAATAAAAATTATCTTATGAAATTAATGGTTTTATCTAAATACCCGATTAATAAGATGTTTTTTTTCAAAAAAAAATTTAAAACTTATAACGCAATAAAAAATTTTACCTTCTTCAAACATTTTATGTCTAAAAAATTGAAAAGACAGATAATTTGTTAGAGATCAAGATATCACAAGAAATATACAAAATGATATATATATTTGAGAGTTTAATTTCAAGTTTAAAAGGCAACGAATAATGATTTAGGATTTAAATTATTTTAAAAATAAAAAATTACTATATTTTCATATTAAAGATCTTATCCTAATATGTAATCAATGAAATATCATATTTACATTTTTTTTTGAAAGATATCATATTATTGTCATATAACTAAAAACAATGAATAAAATACAAAACAACAATAAATTAAGTCGCATTATAAATTACATTAAAAAATTATACTTTTGTAATTGGCAATATCATTTTAATTAAATTATTATTTGTTTTTTTTTGTCTGAAATTATTAAATTTTTAAATAAATCAAATAATTATAAAAAAAAAAACTTAGAGTATATAGGAAAATATCTTTTCTTGAGATATATGTATGAGAAATCGTGCATCACACGGGCTTTCATCTAGTAATAATAAAGATTAGATGGAATCTCGTGCATTCATCTAAGATTTTAAATTATTTGATTTATTGTATATAATAATTTCAGACAAAATTACAAAAGTTTAATATTTATTTTTTTACTATAATTTATAATGAATTTATTAAATATAAATAAATTGTAAATATGATATTTTTTCCGTTATATAAAATCTTTAATGTGAAATAATAAATTTTTAATAATTTAAATCCTAAATCACTATTCATTGTTTTACCATATCTTTTATTTCGATAGAATCACCAACCTCGTTTGATATAAATTAAAATCCTATGTTTAAATAGAAATACTATTCATTGTTTTAAAAATATTGGTAAACGTAGAAATACTAATTTAAACATAGGATTTAAAAAATTAAGCTAAAAATTACCCGACCATTGATGACCAAAAATTAACACAAAATTCGCTTGACGGGGTTTTTTTATTGATACAAAATTTTCTTTGTGTCAATTTATAATGGTAGGTATCACAAATTTTAATTTAATTATAATTAACGAACAATTTGTATTTCTTATCATAAATACTATCAAAATTTATCTTATAATGATAGGTATCAAACTTTATTATAAGCGTTTATCACTTAGATATTTCTTAGTATATTTTTTTGGATTTCTTATACTCGTAGTATTGAATTAATAAATTTATCTTTCCTATATTTTTACTTTATTTTTTCATTAGAATAACTTAATTCGTGGATTATAATCTACGTGGCATTAAAATTTTAGATGTATCAAATCTAATTCTTTACTTATCTAGGTGGCAACATAATTTTTTAATTCAAAAATAAAATACAAATCTTTCTTCTTATTGGTCGAAATAAGTATATTACGGTTTTTTCATCTAATATTTTTAATTATTTGATTTATTTTATTTAATAATTTCAGACAAAATTACAAGTTTAATATTTTTTTAACTATAATTTATAATGAATTTATTAAATATAAATAAATTGTAAATATGAAATTTTTTCCGTTATATAAAATCTTTAATGTGAAATGATAAATTTATAATAATTTAAATCCTAAATCATTATTCATTGTTTTACCATATCTTTTATTTTGATAGAATCACCAACCTCGTCCACAACCATCCTACTACATAATGGATAAATTAAACCGTGAAATGTTAGCCAAACTGAAATTGATATAAATTAAATCTTTACATTTATATAAAATAAATCAATATATTTACCAATAAATGAAAATTTGTTGCGATATAAAATCAAATCTATGCATTAGAATTTTTTCATCATCTCCAAAAATAACCAAAGCCAATAAATAAATTCAATGTAACTAATAATTACAAATATAAATTTAAACATAAGATTTTATAAATTACCCGGACATTAATGACCTAAAACTAACACAAATTACTAACACAAAATTCGCTTGATGGGGTTTTGTATTGATACGAAATTATTTGTGTCGTATGATGTGTTAGATCTGCATGTAAAAAAACATTTAGTAAATAAAACATAAACATATAATCATTGAGTATCCCAAATTAATACAATGTAAGTATTAATTAGAAATACTAAATTAAACATAGGATTTTAAAAATTAAGCTAAAAATTACCCAACCATTGATGACCAAAAATTAACACTCGTAGCATTGAATTAATAAATCTTTTCCTATATTTTTACCCGACCATTTATTATAAGCGTTTATCAATTAAATATTTTTTTTCGGATTTCTTATACTCTTAGTATTGAATTAATAAATCTTTTCCTATATTTTTACTTTATTTGTTTTCATTAAAATAATTTAATTCGTGGGTTAGAATATACGTGACCTTAAAATTTTAGATATATCAAATCTAATTCGTTACTTTTACCTAGGTGGCAACATAATTTTTTAATTCAAAAATAAAATACAAATCTTTCTTCTTATTGGTCGAAATAAGTATATTTCAAACGTGGCGCTCCGAATGCTCTCCAAAAATGCATACTTTATTTATATATATTAGATTTGTAAATCACAGATATAAAGAATATAACATAACTTTTACCATCAAAATCATTACTATTTTGCATATCGGGCATAGCTCACGCTCCACCGCTTCAAACTTGACGCGAGTAGTGATTTTCGATGTCTTTGCATCTTTCCAAGAAGATATCTTCGCAATCTGCGCTGATGTGTTTGATCGTAGAGTTGATGACGAACCCTAAACCTATATGAATTAAAATCACCTTCTCAATTATTATTAAAACCCTAAAATAAAATTCTCATCCATAGATGAGAATCAAAATCCCAAAAAAGTGGGACAAACTCTCACAAAAGGAGTATATGAATAATGTTTAAATATTGATTAAGTATTGATATAATTTTTTTTAAAGTGCTCGATTTATCTCGAACGAAAATTAAGCAAGGTAGAATCTTAATTTTTTTTTTTTAATCATCAGAGTATATGAATAGTGTTTAAATTATGATTGAGGCTATTGAGCTATAGGTAATCACTTAAATTTTCGAATTGATAATTTTTATTTTTATTTTTTGGGGGTGTGATAAGGAGATCATTAGCAACTATATATCTTTTTTCTTACAAAAATAAAAGCAAGATTTATTATCCGAGCTTTTTAAAGGTACTCTTTGTTTCTAAAATACTATAAATTTTCCTCTTTTCAGTTTAGAGGTGAAGTGGATTGTTCAACCACCCAAATGCCCTCCTTGGATGTCGTGGAGTCATGCAAAACACCCCGAACTCTCCTTTTTTTGTCCAAAAAAGTCGTTAAATTTCCAAAACCAAAGGCCTCCATGCTTTCGGACCAATTTCGGATAACTTTTCCAAAATTGAAGAGAGTATGTGGGTTATCCCTCAAGGTCATTTACGTAAGTTTGGAGCTGAGCCAAAACAAATCTCTCAGTAGGGCTATAATAAAGTCATGAGAATGAGTATTGTTTAATACATGGCTATTTCGGAGTTATATTGCATTGGTAGTGAAATTTACAAAAGATGCATGGTTCTAAATACCAATTTGATATCCCGAGATCCTATTAAGAAGGTGTCCTTCATTAGATTATCAATCATACCCACACTCAATAGTTACCAAGTTACCATACCATTATGTTGTTATTGATACATGCATGTATTACTATACAATATACATGAGTTGTTTATCTTCTACGGAGTATAAAATATATAAAACTCATTATACGTCCTACTTATTACTAGCTAGGTACGTAGGTACCACGCCACTTAGCTTATAAGGAAATGACGAACTTCGAATAATTGGAACATACTAAATTGCTAAGTGAAAATTTCATATGGATTTGATGATCATAAAATAAAAAGTTAATCTTACTAATATTACACACAAATAAGGAGTACATCATAATATCATATAACTAGCTAGTACAAAGACTACAAACTAAGTTACACATAATAGCTGGGCATTCTTTATTAGAATTGAAACTCATCTCACAAAAGCATAGCAACAAAGTTTAGCCATATATCTTACATAAAACCTCATATAAATAATGAGTTTTATGAACAATGATCATCATAATGATGGTGGCCGTGGTGATGGTGGTGATGGCCGTCGTGATGACCATGGTGATGGTGGCCATGGTGGTGATGATCATCATAATGACCGTGATGGTGATGATGATCGTGATCATAATAATCATGGTGATGACCATAACCATGGTGCCCTCCATGATGATAGTCTCCATAACCATATGGGTTACCACCATAGCCATATGAGCCTTGCCATGGTGATGTGAGTTGATGCCCATATCCCCATCCCCATGTCATATTTCACAATGTAAATATAATTAATTGCTTGTAATTTGGAGTAAGAAATGAAAATAATGTGGAATTTAATCTAATTTTTTTGGTGTGTAGGAAATATACTTGTCTAGTGTACGGTATTCATAAAGAGTATGTAGGTGCATGCTTGAGATAATCGATCATATCAAGAATATTATTTTTGGTGTTATGTGTTATTCCCTCCATATTACTTTATTTCCAAAGTGGTTAGTGAAACTATAAAGTATTGGATTCATCTACTTGATTAAAAAAAAAAATCTTTATTCCTAATTTTGGTTACATGTCTCATATTAATTAAAAAAAAATACATAAGAATCTATGCTTATATAAATTAGTGGAAGTGGAAGAAGAATAAGTTCAAGCCGCAAACATCTGGATAGAGTTTGTACTTTGTAGTGATAAAAATTAATTAATACAAGTATTTTTTAATAAAAGCATATTAAATTTGTATATTCACATTAGAAATGGTTGTGTATGAATGGCTATGATGGATATTGCTTGTATTTGATATATTTAATTAAGCCATTAATTTACTACAAGTACTTAATTCCTACCAATTAAATTTTTTTTTAACGAAATATATTCCACGTTAAAGTTTTAAATTGTGTATCATAAAAAGTCAATTTTGGTTTATTAAAGAGAGGCCTTGTATTACAAATTCAAAGCAATTGTAGATGCGTTTTTTTGCTATAATTCCATGAAATGTTGAGGGTATATATGGAGTAATTCTGTCATGTTATGACTCTCCATCAATTGCAACAAAGTTTTTTTTGAGAAGAATTTGATTCTTTGAGTTTGTAATGAATGGTTGTACAACACTTTAGTCACTTAAAAACTTTTTACCTACTAATTGGACCAAAAATCTAATCATAAAATTCCCCTAAAAATATCACACTAGTAAAGGTATAATGAAGTCGACAAAGATCATGTAACGTAATTACACATAGAACATACTAGTATTGGGTTTTTTTGTAAATGAAAAAAAGAAAGAGAATTTAGGAGACAATTGTTAGTAATTAAAAAGTGAAATAGTTGATTTTTTAAAGATAAATTTTGAATTCAATACCATACAACTGGTACAAATAGTTAACATGTAATTATATTTGCACAGACTAGTTAGCTACGAAGTAGATGATAAAGTAGTGATTAAAACATGAGATAAAATTGTTTTCTCTAGTACTTGATTCGGAGGTGACTAAGGTCCATGGTGAATTTTGTCACATTGCCTTTTGATCTACAATTAAAATACGGTCTCCGTCTTTAAAAGAACTTCATATTCTGCACCCGAATTAAAACATTCTACACTGTATGCTGCTATCCGTAACCGTATCCATATCCGAATTCATATCCGTATAGAGGTAATTAAAGGATTGGATTAGATTAGAGCATAGTAATGGGCTGTCTACCTCTCCAATACAATTAGCCCATAATTTGTAAAGCCATAATTTTTAGACTTTATATAGCTTACACATTACAATCTCTCTGTTTCAGCTGTGTTTTTCCGGTGAACTGCAAAAATGGCGGCAAATTCCGAGGTTAGCTATCCTACTAATCATCTTTTAAATTTTCTCTTTTATTGTTTCTGTAATCACTATTGTTTTCTTATTGCAAATAGAATACAGGGGTTAGATCGTTTCAGCTTTTTCAATCAGCTGATGAGAGCAGGAATAAACCCAATAATGGAGGATTAGGGTTTTTGAATTTCCCAGAAACCCCTCTTCCCCCTTGTGTAGAAGTACTCCCTTCTGAGGTTTGTCAATTTTACTTTATGATTATAATTTTTTGTGAATTTTTAGCTATTTTTTGGGCATTTTTGGTTGGTAATTTTGTTGGTTGTTTTTTTGATGATTTAGGTTTCTGCTTCTGTTAAGTATACTGTGGAGAAGGTTGATTTGGGGGTTGTTACTTTGCTCAAGGTAATTTTTTTTACTGAATTGTATAATTTGTAGAAATTGGAGTGTGGAAATTTATAAAAAATAATAGCACTGATCGACACATGATTTTGTTATGCATTCAGAAATTGATACTGGAAAGTGTTGGAAACTTAATGTTAAAAGCTGTATAAAAAGATGTATAGCCTAGTGATTTGGCATTTTAATTAAAAGGATATACTCAATTTACATTCTTTTCATGAACTTATGTTGAAGAATTTTGTAGGACATACTATTGTGAGACACGCGGAGGCAGTTAGTACCGGACTAGTAGGCGAAAAGGGGAAGAAATAGTTAGATAGTTTTCGGATAACCTTGTTTCTAAGCAATGGTTTGGGTAGGAGCTTTTCTTGATGTTGAATTCATTACGACGATAATGTGTTTGAAAACTTGAAAGGCACTTAAATCACATTTGTAAGGATGATGGCAGAGAACTTATAGAACCCTTGATCAATCAACTTTGAAACTGATGCAATCCTTTTGTAATTTATTTTAGAAATCTGTTTCAATTAATTCTATTAATGAACCATACATGTCTAAGCTTTAACCTTTGACATGTTCCAAAATGATTGTACTAAGGTCTTACATACAAACTTAAAATTGTTTATAATATTATTTAATTAAAGGCTGTATCTTAATTTCATTTGTTGAGAAGATATTTTCTTCTTCTTTCTTGGATAATAAAAGCCTTACATATTCTTTTCCTTAACTTGCTTTTGACTTGTAGAATGGGAAGTGGGGAAGGGTCTGGGTAGAAAACTGAATTTGACATGTTGATTTGAAGTGCAATAAAGTTTGAACATTTTCTTAAAAAAATTTTACAGGGTCGGGTGAGTACACAAGAGGTTTTTGCATTGCCAAACTCTGATTTAGTTCCTGGAAAATATGAAGGTGTGCAATGTTATTTACTTTATGGTAATCCTGTGACGCTTATATTATGATTTACCATGCCGTTATTTACTAACTAGCAATTGGTGTTATGAATTATATATGGAGGACAGGAGGCCTTAAACTCTGGGAAGGCTCGCTTGATTTGGTGAAAACTCTCCATTCAGAGATTCAAAAAGGGGATTTATCATTTGAAGGGAAGAGAGTCTTAGAGGTGGGCTTTTAATTTTCAGGTGATTAGTTTTGTTTGTGATTTTGTAATGATGAGAAACAAAGAATGCCAAGGTTGGCTTTCTCTGGGGGTGGAAGTTCTAGCCTTTATATAGGTTTCACTTGGATCATCTTCAGTTGTGCTCTAATTATTATCTATAGTTGCATAGTCAATGGTAACCCATGACTCTAGATTATTGCCTTGGGGACTCAGGAAGATGCTCCTTTCCACTTTCCGTCTAAAATTTCCACTTGCCTAAAGAGGACGTCATGGATTTTGGCAAGCAACCTTGTGTATGACCTCCTTTGAGGTTGTCATGTGTAAGTTTGGCTTGCATTATGTGGTAACAGTGCATAGCTTTTGGCCCTTCATGATGGTATGGGTAATGCCTTGACCTTGATTGTAGCCTATAGGCAATAGGTATGTGCTGATGATGCCTTAGCCATATCCAATGTGAACAATTGTACAGCTCGAAGTGACATCTAGATATGTTGAGATAAAGAATTATCTTTTCAATTGGTTTTTCAATGACAATTGAATTCAGCTGATTTTTTTTTTTAATCTTCATTTCTTCCATGCTTTTTAGTAACAGTGTAACCTTTGTTGTTTGTAGCTTGGATGTGGCCATGGGCTTCCTGGAATTTTTGCCTCCCTCAAGGTGAGCACGTCACTGTCTCACTGCTAACTGTTCATTCGTTGCCCCCCTCCCTGCTCCCTCTCATTTGCTCAGCTGTTCAAATTTATTCGTGTCAGGGTGCAGGTTCCATTCATTTTCAGGATTTCAATTTAGAGGTCTTAAAATGTCTCACTCTTCCAAACGTGAATGCAAATCTTCCGTCAGGAACTAGTATTGCTGATAATTGTGAAATTCGTTATTTTGCTGGTGATTGGAGAGAAGTGGATCGAATTCTTCCACATGCTCACCCAGACAGTATTAATGCCACATCGTCTGATGACAATCCAAATACAGGATATGATATGATTTTAATGGCTGAGACTGTTTATTCTATCTCCACTCTACAGAGCCTTTACAATCTTATTAAAAAAGTATGTAGTTAGTGTTTCTCTTTTGTATTTGCATTTTGCAGGATAAAGTTGTTTTTTCAAGACTAAACAGAATATGTACTACCCCTGCAGTGTGTCAGCCATCCACACGGTGTTATCTATTTTTCTGCAAAGAAGCATTATTTTGGAGTAGGTGGAGGATCAAGGCAATTCGTATCTATTGTGGAGAAAGACGGTAGGTTTTTTGGTTGTATGCCATATGATGCTCAGCATTGTCTTTCGTATTATTGAGAGATTAAGGCATTAGGCATAAATAGAGGGTTATTTATGCTGTCTGTGATAGAAAAATGTCATGAAGTATGTTTTTCCACGTTTTCTATTGTAGTATTGTTTGGTGGATTTAATGAATGCTTGCTACATCTTTTATAGTTAAGATTACTTAAAAATGCTATAGTGATTAAGAACTGTGTATAGAGAGACTATGTAAGAGAAATTCGGAGTTATAGAGAGAGATAGTAAGAGAGAGATTAATATGGGATGGCCAATATGTGATTATGTGCATAGTAATATGGGACAAAGGGAGATTTTGGCTTTTTATTCACAACTTACCACGGAGTATCAAGAAATTTACTGCAGAGATTCTGTGGTTTGCCATCTCTGACCTGCGGTTGGTTGGCTTAATTTGTTGCTGACTGATGTTGCAGGTATGATGTTAGCCAGCTTAATTGCTGAAGTGGCTGATGGCTCATCAAATCTCAGAGAAGTTTGGAAACTATCTTGCAAGTGAGCATACAATTTGAGTATTTCAGTTTGATGCTGGAACTAACCCTCATAAACGACTGGACCAAGTGATCAACTATTGAGAAGAAAGAATTGAGGGGATCTAATCCTTGTGGCTGTTGCTTTCTGGTTTTGCTGCAAAAACATTCTTGAAGCATGCTAATAGTTCTGATCTTTGTTGTCAACATGTATGCCTTATATGATACGTCTTTTTTATTGAAGGGCCTTTCTTTTTGTTCCTGCCATGTAGGTGTAATACAAATGTTCAGGAACTGTTTGAGCTTATAAATTGGAGTTTTTATAAGTTGAATGGGGTTATGTTTCCGAAGTTCCCTTCAGTTTTTTTACTCATATTCTTTACCAGAACAGAACAATCTTAGAGGTAGAGAATTTATCAGTAAGCATTGTTACTTGTATTTTTTTTTGAAGGGAAACGAAGAGTCTAGATTTTACCTGACTCAAAAACCTGATTAGAACCTCCTTAAAATCTTAGGTTTGAACACAATTTTGCCCATAGTAAGAAGAAATATATGAAAAATAGTTTGAGCCAAAAATGACCTGAAAATGGATCGTGTACTATTGTACTACAACAACAATCGAAGCCTTGTCCCAAACAAAATAATGATCTCGTATTGAACCCAGATATAACTGACTCAAAACCAGTCTGACCAGCTGATTTGACAGCAATGGTTAACACTTGAGTCTAAGTAAGCAAAAACGTAGTAAAAGCAAATATGGACTGCACAACTGATAACCAATATATTTTAGAAAATTTTCCTTCTGTGATAAATACACAAGTAGCAGCAAATATGAAGAAGGTACAGTGCTAAGTGTCTGATCTACATCGATAATACTTAGAGCAGCCTCTGTGGTACGGATTGGCTGCAGGACCAAGACATTCAGAATTGCTGGAATAAGCCTGGCCCCTAGGACCGCCACAGGCAGGTTGATTTCTGTTCATAGCACCATACGAGATGTACTTCCTCCCTTCAAGAATCCTCCGAGCTATTTCCGACACCATCAACATCACATTCTCTTCCTGGCATACGGCTATTGAACCATTACACTGCAAGTATGCTTCAGTATCCGTTTTGGCACCATGAACGTGGAGCAGGAGAATGATGAATATAAAAAACAAGCAGCATGTAAGTTTTCTCATTGCTTTGTATTCCAATTTTCTTTTCCCTTTTGAGCTGTTTATTTATGCACTCCCATCATTTCCTCTTAGAGAGCACTATATAAGTGTTATACTCACCTTTATATTGTAAAGGTGACAAAGTGGAAAGCCAACTTTAGGCATGCACTTTGATGGACCGCACTTCACCTACTTGCTCTAATTACAAAGCACATTGGTTTTTGCACGTTTAGCAGCTCAGAATGATTAGCTTTAGTCAAATAATATGATTTATAATTTTCACTAAGATATGCTTTGCATAATGGTTGCCTACCAAGGAGGGAAAACATGATCTGCTTAATGATTGGTTTTGACTTATGGTGTAGCATAAGGGCCCGATTTTGGTAAACCAGCACCAAATCACGTCTTAGATCTGTTGGTCTACATGACATGGATATGCAACAAGTTCGGAAAAATTCTTTCTATCAATCTCATATTGGTGGCTCACTTTTGGATCATGTAGCCGATCCCACTTATGGAATTAAGGCTTTGATTAATTGATTGAATCTCATATTGATGGCTAAATGTAGCGGTGGGCTGTGCTTGAGCCACTGGGTGGCACGGTTGATGAGTGATGAGGCCACAATAGTCGTTTTGGACCACTTGACCCCTTAGCATTTCATTCTGCGGTCTTCTGTTAAGCTTCATGTCATCCCTCGTGCTGACATGACCCACTGCCACCTTTATTGATGGTCAAATCGGCTGCTTGCCCTGTCTATTATGAACCAGCCCTGTCAATGGCAGGCTGGGCCATGCTCAGCTTGTTTTCGTGGCGGGTTGAATCAGGTCATGATAATCTAGGTGTACATATTTGCAGCTTAGTTGATGAAGTTCATTGAACACCAAAAATATAAAATCTAGGAAATCTAACACCTCAGATCTAGGTCATACGCTTATATCATCTGCTTCACAAGTTAGTTCAGATTGATGCAGTCCATATATGAGACAAATTAGATACACGCACCGAAGAAGTCAAAGCACACATCGGACAGTTAAACAAAACTTGAAGTCTAGGACACCTTAAATTATACTGACAAATTGAAACAATTGTACACAACAAACTGCATCAGTTCAGACTTCTGAGTCTGACAAAGCATAGCCTTGTTTTATTTGCTTCATGACTAGACATGTTAAGAAACTTGAAGAGTGATTATGGAAACTTTATTCATCTCCTGCAACGTGCACCTATGATTATTTTCTAGATCGGGGCTTGGGTTTACCCCTGGCTGCCCTATCATATTTCAGTACTCCATAGCTGATGTACGTGGCTCGTGTGGAATAAGCAGGGATTGGAAGTGTTGTTGATTGTTCATCATCGTTGGAGTCATCATCACTGGAGTTGTCACTGGACTCATCACTTGTCCAGCTCTTCTTTCCATGATGTTGCATACTATCATTATAGCGGTAGCCTTTCATTGTTTTGTGGGTTGTGTGTGAATTTACTCGGTTTAGAGATTGGTGTTTCTGCTATTAAGTGAGAAGATGTACTCTTAAATAGGCCAAACACATTCTGAATAAGAAGTATAATTATTTACAAGTTGCAGAAACACTGAATCTGAATCTATTCCCCAAACAAATTAGGATATGTAGATATAATGTATTGATTATGGGTATCTCACAACTTTTCTAGTGGCAAAAAGAACATGTGATTTTGATTTGAGTAAACTAAGGATCAAATAATCTTGTTGATCATCGTGATGAAGCCTGCATAAAAGTGACCTGCTTCTTGATTAAGGCATGAGTTTTTTTTAAAGGCATCGGAATAGTGTTGGTCAGAAAACTGAAGTTATGATGCTTAATCCGTCTACAAATTATAAACCAGCAACATACCGGAAAATCTGTCTTGTATATAGGCTCACTTAGAACTTGGTGTAACCAATGCTATATTGGGTGCATGCTCATTTCATTTGCTCGTTTGTGGTTACTTTTTGCTCGTTCAAATGAGTACTAAAATAGTCTTGGTGCATCTAGCTAGCTCAAGGTGAAACTAGAAATAACAGAGTTTGTGTTCAACATTTGTTACAAGAATTTTAGTCACGAAATCTTGCAAAGCAGATTAATTATTGGTGGACGAGGGAATATATCATTCAGCCTCTTTAAACAAATTCATATCCAATCCCTAAAGAAGAATCTTATTCCCCTTTCGATCTATCCCTAAAGGTTCTGTATTTGTCCTTGAGGTCAATAAGCATGGTTTAACATTAGAGGCCAAATATTCTATTTATAGAGCATCAACTCCCTCAAGTTGAGTAATCAAAAGGGTCTGAAACATCAGCCCATAACGAATCAAATTTCAGTTAGGCAAATACCCAACTCCTCTTTTTTTTTTTTTTTTTTTTTTTTTTTTTTTTCCTGAACATTTTATATTTTGAAAGCATGAAATGGAGGTAAATATGAATAGGTCTTTAATTAGTTATCGATATACTCCGTGTTTGATAGATCTTGCACTGTATTACTTCAGAATCCTCTAAAACATGGCTTAGTATTATTTATGACATTAGTATGCATTGTGATAGACACTAGCTAGTAAAAAAACAGCCATGAAAGAAACTGAAATCAGCTATAGTCCTCATTTTTCGGCCTCCTGCAGTCCTGTTGTTAATCAACCCCTGCACCTGTGACACTTAGAGTGGCCACGACGCCAGGTATTTGCAGGCTGAAGAGGACCATGACTTCCCTGGGGTGACTGTGCCTGATCACCCTTCAGAGCATTAAAACTGATGTAGTTTTTCTGCTCAGCAAACATCGTCTCTTGCTCGACTTCAGTGTGTCTGCCGTTGTGGAACTGCTCGTAGTCATACTCGTTGTACTGCACCTCAGTGGAACTACTGTCATAATCTTGGTTTGTGTATGGCCTGTAGTTTTGATAGTACTCCATAGCTTTGATTTTGTTATAAATCTGTTTTCTATGGTTTGTATTTTAAAATGAGAAGTGATTGTTATCATCATTCTCTTAAATAGGCATTATCCAAGCAAAAGGTTACAGAAGATTGTGGGTATTGGTCACTTTCATAGCGCACTGAATAAATTCCTAGGACACTAGTAGGATGGTTGATAATGTTAAGAATGGTGTCTTTTATTTTTGTGGTCAATTCAAGAAAATAACCAAGAGTTTAGGTCAACTAAGGTCATCATCTCAACATGTATAATCAAGTCTTGGACTGTGGTACTCCAGAGTCTAGACTTAGTATCTCATCTTGTCTGCATCATTGTCTTTTGTGACCCTCTATAGGAAGAAAGACGTGGTATAAAACTGGTCACTCATGCTGTCATGCAATTTCTTACAGAACCTATAATAAGTTAATCAGGCAAATAAATGGTGAAAGTGTGAAACCCATTTTAACATACTGTATAAATCTGTAGTCCTGCCCTGTTAAGTCACTGGTATAATACAGTTATGAAAACTGCTAGCAATAAAAATATACTTTAGTGTAACAAATATGAAGCAATTGGCTTCTTAAAGAACTGGATTCACGGCCTTTTGTCAATTATCAGCTTTTTATCCTTTAAACTCGACAATTAGCTTATCAGTTCCTGGCAAATTTGTTCGTAAAAAACACCATTCATCACAGTAATCATCAAGACTGATACTACTGGTGTCAACTCACATCCTGTGCTGGATGTGATAGAGGTCAGAGGATAAGATGCCAATATACCATTCCTCAAAGGCTAAACCTCTTGTGTGCGGACAGGATTCGGTCTTTTTTCTTCTTATAATGGCGTGTAAGTTTAGTAAGCGTGTGTATGATCAACTTCTTTACGGCAAATTATATCTTACATCTTGGGGCACCACACACGTGACATTGGCCACGGATATGTTTTGTTCAAATTTAGTGCCTATTCATTAGGAGCATCACGCGCATGGTGCTCTTTAATGGAAAACATAATACATGTACATAAAATGGAAACATTTGAAACCAGCATTTCAATAGTTTTAACAAATAAAAATAAGTTTTAACATTAATATCTAATGTTAATCCCACAGTACAACAGAAGTATCTGCAGCATAATTCAGATATTTCCAGTACTTGCTAAATTTATTCAGCATGAACTCTTATTTGCTGAGCAGTTTGTCTGCTCAAACCCATATATCTGAAGTGCAGTCACCACCAGGGTATCTCATTTCATGGGCAAGGGAAGGACCATCAGGTTCCAAGCCAAAATCTACGAAGAAGTTGGGATTTATAGCAAGGCCGCCTTTCTCAGTGTCGACGTCTATTTGCAACATGTGAGATCCTTGTTCCTTTAGTTCAGGATAGAATTGATTGTCCCATGTACTAAAGAGGGAATT